GGGGGAGACGGGACGATTAATTGGGTTTAATCCCGAGCTCAAGTCTTATCGAATAATCACCGATGACAACCTCATCGTTAACTCAAAGAGTGTTACCTTTCTCAACTTCACTCCCACCGACAATCCCATCAGTGACCATGATGAGCTTCTGGTGGATGATCACAATGAAGGGCCGGTCGAAGTCACCTTCCCGGCTGAGAAAGAAGAAGATGAGGAAGTTGAAGACAAGGATGAAATAGACAGCCCAACTAATTCTGAAGCAGAAGACAACTCCGACTCCACAAACGGTGACGACTCTTCTGAAGACGATGATGAGGTAGCCAGTTCTCTGATTCCTGAACCCGAAGCTCCACTCGGAAGAATCTTGAGAGACCGCACACTGCAGGTCAAGCCGGTCAAGTACTCACATTTCTCAGAAGATCCTACTTCCTTCAAAAACGCCGTCTCGGGTGCTAATGCCGAAGGTTGGACCATGGCTATCAAAGACGAGCTGGACAACATCGAAAGACATGAAGTCTGGCTTGATCAAATGACTAGGCCGAAAAAACTTCTTAATCACACCTGGGTCTTTAAGACCAAACCATCCACTCTCTCCTCTCCCGAAAAACAGAAGGCTCGACTTTGTGTTCAAGGCTTCCTACAGACGTACGGAGAGGATTTCTTTGAAACTTTTGCACCTACTGGAAAATTTCCCTCTCTCCTTGCTCTTTTGGTTCTTGCGATCAATTTCCAGCTCCCAATTAAACAGTTTGATGTAAAGAGTGCATTCCTTTTTGCACCTCTCGAAGAAGAAATCTTTATCAAGACTCCAGAGGGATCCACAAGGACGGCTCCCTATCTCAAATTGGTCAAATCTCTGTATGGCCTGAAACAGGCGCCGAAAAATTGGTATGAGACGTTGACTAACTGGTTTGAAGAAGTTGGGTACCTTCCCTCGACCTCTGACGCCTGTCTTTTCATCCACAAAGAAAAAAACTCTTTCATTTTCTTTCACGTTGATGATCTGATCGTGGTCGGGCAAGTGGATCAATTCGAAGTTCTCTTCCTCAAACGCTTTCCAAACTCTACTGCTCATTCGCCCGATACACTTCTGGGGATGAATCTTAATGTGAAGACCGACTGCATTGAACTCTCTCAGCCCGCACTCATTGATAAGGGTCTGGAATTGCTGGATTTGAAGGACTGCAGAGCCGTGAAGACTCCTCTGACTCCCGCTATTCAATTACATTCTGCAACTGACGAGGATCACGAAGACTTTCTCAAACTTAACATCAATTACCGGTCTTTCACCGGAATGCTCAATTATCTGGCGTGTCGTACCAGGCCTGATTTGGCTGCCGCGGTTTCCATCCTCTCCAGGTTTAATCAGCGGCCCGGTCTCAGTCACTGGAATGAAGTGAAGCATTGCTGGAAGTACCTCAAGGGTACCAAGGAGCGTGGACTGCTTCTCAAACCGGATGCTGAATCATTTGTGGATCGATTGAATTTTTTTACGGATGCTACCTGGGCTGAAGATCAAGAGACTCGGATTTCTCAGAGCGGATCTCTTGCCTTCTGGAAGTCTTGCCCTATCTTGTGGAACAGCAAGAAGCAGAAGAATATCACAATGTCATCCACGGAATCAGAAATGAACGCGTTATCTGATGGGGAGCAGGAAAGCCAATGGCTAAAATTTTTGATAGAAGAACTTTGGAAGAAAACGCTGGCTCCTACGCTTTTTTTGATTGACAATAAAGGACTGCTGGAAAAACTAAAGAACTTCGGGTCGAATTCGAAAACCAAGCACCTTGACATAAAAATCAAAAGTCTTCGTGAAAAATTCAAAAAGAAGGAAATTGATGTCAAACTCATTACATCTGAAGCGATGCTAGCCGACTCTCTTACCAAAGCCGCGCCGCTTGCCTCTGTCCAGAAGCTTCAAGACAAATGCCTCTCAGCTCTTTCATCATCAAACAAGGAGGGCTGTTGAAATTTCACAGTAGTGTCACTCTAGATTCACTCAAGCTCAGCTCTTGATCCGCAGCAAGTAATGATAACTGAAATTCAACCGCTTAGGGTTGAATTTCCTGAGAGTTAAAAAAGAACATCTCTGTCGGTCTCTGTAATCTCCAGACTCGACAAGATACTCGACCTCTCAACTTGCTCTAGATCAACGAACTCCGCTCAAGATCCTTTCGGCCCATTGTGCCCTTTTCAATCACTCAAGACCTTCCAGTGTAAAGTTCCCATCACTCGCTCCACTTCACATCACTCGTGCTCACATCAAACCATCTCTTTCGTGCCTCAAGATTGATTCTCGACTCCTCAGGAATCCAATAAAAAGGCGCTATCAATTAAACTTCATATCATCACCTCCGCGTGCTGTTTGTCTCTCTTTTTTCTTCTTCTCTGTTCTTATCTTCTCTTGTTGTTTGTTGATGAAATCGCTGATCTCTTTTCTTTCATCATCTGTGTTTTCTGTTCTCTTCTTTAGTTGATTATATTTTAAACTTTTCTTCTTGCTTCTGCTCAAAGTCCTCATTCTCTATTCATTGATTCCATCCTCTTAGTGGTATGCTTTTTCTATCAATTCTTCTTCTCTTGATTCTTTTTCCTTATTGTCTTGTTTTCTCATCATTTTTGTTTCTAGTTTGGTTTTGGTTCTTAGTCATCAATTCAACATTTCTTCAAAAAGAATGGTTATAAATGAAAAATATTTATTATTGATCCAAAAAAAGTTTGAGCATGGTGGGTGGACACCCTGCAGTCAAAATCAGTAGAATGCAGTACCAGAATGCCACATCTCTTGATGAATGACCCCCTAGGCACCCTTTTTAAACCACCAAGTAGTCAATTTTTTCCAAATTTTCACTTCTTATCATTCATTCCAGATCTCATACTATCAATTTGGAGATTTCACCTTTTCCTGAAAGAAATATTAGAGCTGTCAGTTTTTGTGATTTTCTCCTTTTTACTTTTTACAAATTGTATAATCTTTTTCATCATTATTATTTTTTCATATCCATTCTTTGAGACCAATTTTCCACCATTCCACCAACTCTTGTGACTTGAAATTTTTGGGTTCCTGGTGTGGATCTCAGAACAGATGGCTATAAACATCTGAGAGCATCTCCACCGCGGGCCCTATTTGCGGGGCCCTATATGCCTCCAATAGGGACCGAAAAAAATGGATAGCGACCGAGCCGGTTTTTTTTTCCACCGCTAGCGGGTGTATCGGCCTTAAAAGTCGGTGAAAGCCGATCGGTCGGAGTTGTAGTGTGCTTGAGGATGTGTGAAACCTTCCGATATCGGAAGGTTCACACGGGATGGGACCGATCAGCCGGGCCCTATCGAGTCTGTATATATACAGCTCGATAGGGACTTTTGACCCTGGTCCCTATTATAGGGCCCCACATAGGGGCCGCGGTGGCTGTGGTTTTGGGACTCGCGGGCCCTATATGTGGGATAGGGCCCCTACATAGGGCCCGCGGTGGAGATGCTCTGAGAGGAGACTGTACATCTAGTAGCTTATGTAATCTGATCCTCTTGACCTTGTGAAACCCTTAAGACAAGGGGGTTTTCACAGTTTGACTGCCATTTTTTGGGGGAATCTGGGGCTTGGGAGTTGGCTCTCCAGTTTTAGGGAGTCGTTTGACCTAGTGGATGACTTCCCATCGCAATCTACAACCCTCCCAGAAGTTGTTTTTTACACCCCCTTGGTCTAAATTGTTTATCAAAAAAAACTTTTTTCTGAAGCCTCCTGGCAATAGCTCTCACATGAGCTGGTTGGAATCTTGATTGCTTTCTTAATTTAAGACTGAGAGAGGTCTAAAAAGCGCTCTAAATCGTGAGGGGAAGTCCTCCAGTGTTATGAGCTGTAACCGGGGATGCTAGTACATATGTACATAGTCTGTTACGTACATGTCAGAAACTTTGAACTTGAAGTTTGTTCAAGATCCACAGCTTGTACAACCCCCATCTTGCAATCTACCATTACAAATCAGAACCCAGAAGATCCAGTCCTGCTCCGCTCAGAAGGACCATAACACCCAGCCCCTCTGATTATATCTTGGTTGGATTCCAGTGTTGACCACCGTCATCATTTCCATCCTCCCTGTACTAATTTTGCAGTGCTCATCCTTGTTGAGTGAGACTCAAGGTGAAAACCCAAAGTTCATGGCTGACAGGCCAGTGACACTTTGTGAGTGAGAAAAAATAGGTTTTGATTCACTAGAGGAAAAACTACAATGGCTATCAGGTATAGATTATATACATGATTGCTTGAGTTCTTGTTGAAGCATACTGTGTAATGAATACGCATATTCATAATCCAACAATCCTGCCCCATGGTCTCCTTGATTTACAATGCCAGCTGTTCATATATATGTACCACCAAGAGATCTGGATCCTGGAAGATGGGAAATCGTGTGTGATTTGATGCGGGGGGGGGCATCCATTACATTGGATTCACAAATGAGCTGATTGGAATCCCGGATAACCCTCCGCAAAAAATTGATGATGATGAACATGCAAATGTTCTTCAGCATCATGTGTCAAGCAACTCTGTAGCCATCCAGTCAGAAACAATTAGGACAAGCAAAAGGAAATAAATGATACTCTTTCCTACTCCTCTATGATCATCAAGGACCACCGTGCCTCCGCTGCAGAGTCTCCATGGGACAGCCCTCCTAAAACTGTGACCACCAACCAGGGATTTGGGATTTGTTTTTTTCTTTTGGTGGAGTTGAGACTTGATAAACACATGGATGTGCATTCATTTTGAGTCCTTCAACCTGCCATACATATATATATATATATATATATCTCCAAAGAAAAAAAATGTATACATCTCAAGAAATATATATATATATATATAATAGAAGCCACCTGGACCACAAAAACCCGGAATTCAAAGTGATTGCAAGCAGCAGAGAGAAAGAGAAGGGAGACGGGAGAGGGTACAACAACAAACGCCCACAGCACATATATAAAAAGCCAAGATGCGAAAAAAATAGAATGATCTAGGGTTGATTAAGGCCAGCAGCGTCCTGCATGACGACGCGATGGGCCAAAGCGACGAACGATTCGCCAGCAGAAAGAGCCGAAGAAGAAGAAGAAGAAGGGGAAGCAGGGTTGTGGAGACAGAGACGGTAGAGATGGAAGGTGGCTCTCAAGGAGTCGAGGATCTTGTCCTGGAGGGCATTCTGTGATGTAGAAGAAGCTCCAGAAGGTTGAGGAAGAGGGGCTAGGGAGGATTTGAGGGGCGGATGAAGAGGAAGGGTGGGTGGAGGCGCGGGCCGGACAGGAGGATCGGAAGGGAGGTTGACGATGCGAGCAGCGTCGAGCAGGCGAAGGAGATCGGGGGCAGTGGAGGGGTTCCCAGGGAGGGCGGAATTGAGCGGGCCACAGTCTTCGACGGAGGGGGCGCGTTTGAAGAGCGGGGTCCTGGCGATCCTGGCGCGGAGGTCTATGGGTCCGGATGGGCCGCCCAACGAGGGGGTGCCCTGCGGTTGTACGTGGTCGTCGGAAGCGGCGGGCGAGCAGACCGACGGCGCCTTGGATCGGTACAGCGGCGTGTTCCGGATCCGGGCGGCCAGGGCCGGGTCTGTGGGGATCCGAGCCTGCCCGCGTCCATCCGAGCCAGAGGTCATCGACGAGTCGTCCGAGCGGGACGAGAACCCCGCCCAGTAATCTGCATCCTCGTCTCCCGATTGTTCTCTATCCTTTGGGCCACCAGAGTTCTGGTGGATGGGCGGACGGAGGGCCGCTTGGCGTGGCGAGTCGAACCAGGGTCGAGTGTCGAGGCCGGGAGTGACAAGGTCCTGCAAGTCGAAGTACTTCCAACTGAGGTGATCCCACGAGCCCTTCTTCGTCGGATCGGCTGGCTCTGGTGGATCGCATTCAAGCTTCAGGATCAGCGCCAACTTCTCCCTCGCCTGGACCGCTTCCGCATCGCTGTCCCTGGCCTTCCACACCGTCACCCGACTGAAGATCTCGCATAACCCGTCCGAATCGAGACAGCGTTCGTCGGCCTTGTAGTGGACCTCGGACGGGGCACAGAAGTGCCAGGCCGAAGGGCCCGCATGGATGAGCTCCATCCGAAGCTCGTGGGCCCTCCCCGAGGCGCCATGATCGACCTAACAAACAAACAAACAAAAAACCACGGATGAAAGATCTTAAGGACAGTCTTCGAGTTCGTGGCAGGAAAGAGTGACTGACCATGTTGTTGAAGTAGAGGTGGGATTCCCGCTCGTCTTCGAGGGAAGGTTTGATCCATTGAAGCCGCTCGAGCACTGGTCTCGAGAGCGGTGCTTCGAAGAGCGAGGAGGGCGAGACGAGGATGTGTCTGATGATCTCGATGGCTGCCGGGATCGGTGGCGGAAGGCTTTCGTAGACAGTGTTGAACTTGCTGCTGCTCATCGTCGTTTGTTCTTTATTTTGCAAGAGGGGATGGCTTCGATTGAGGAAGCTGAGTGTACATAATAGTTCGATTATCCGAGCTGAGTGATCCGGACTGCATGGGGATACACCACTTCATCAGCAACATCATCAGGACCCAAAGGCTCTCAAGAGCTCAGAGTTCATGCGCCAAGAAGCAAAAAAGCGTTAAATTCATGGCTCACCCCAGAATCAAATCATCTCATCATGCCAACACTTCGAAAAAAAAAAAAAAAAAAAAAAAAAAATGTCCTTGCGTCTAATTAGGAGCCGCAACAACCAGGCCCAGCATATGAAGAGGTCTACATATTTAGAAGCAAAGAAACCACCAAGACATTGTACATATCCTTAAAACTACTTCATAAACCATTTTTGCTTCTGAGTTCTGAGATGTAGAATAAGCAGGGACTATGTACAACCAAGAGCACACAGCTTGATGATGACGATAACAACAACGGTCGAATACATATAAGAATAACTGATCACAGCATCTTTTTATTTACGTCCTTACAGTAATAACATAACAAATACACACAACCCTAAAATCTAAGACAGATAGCACATGCAGCCATACATTCAAATGAGAGCACTTCAGACGAACGCGAGATCAAAAGAAGAGTAACTCGAGTACGCCAGCCAGCTATTCGATCAGTGGGTCAGAAGAAGGATGCGAAATATCTCTGGATCAGTCGTCCCTCTCTGACCAACGGAGATCAAAAAAAGAGACAGAACTACAGAAGTGGGAGACTCAACGACAACTTTAGCGATCGAAACGGTCTGGACGATATCGTACGAGCCCACCGGCTTTCCATCATCCGAATCATCATCCAGATCACCATCATGGTCGTGCTCGAAGAAGAGCGAGAATCGGTCGGAGGATTTCATGTGATGAGGGTTCCGGATCGCGTCGCCGATACGTTCAAAGATCCGGACCGAGTTGAGGAAGCCGTTGGCATAAAAATTTGTCTCGTCCGAAACTCCAACTACAATAGAGCCACAAGATGTCAAAAACCACTGCATATGTCATTGACCGGAAATTATGGAGAAAAAAAATAGTCACGGAACTGGTGCTGTTTCCTACCAGTAATTCGGGCACATAGACGTTCGAGATTCGGCGGATGAAGGCGAGTGATTCGGGCGACGGGCCAAGGGACGAGAGGCCGATTTGAAACGGCTCGCCATCAACTCGAAAACTAATCTACAAATAATCAACCAGATTCCAACAAGAAAAAAAAAATCCATAATTAATATCCGACTGTAACGCTTGAGAGCAAAGGGAAGGAAGGAAGGAAGGAGAAAATACCATGTCCAGATTCATTAAGAGTAGGATCGTGCGTTGATCACGGAATTTCTCTGCAACTGATCGGGAGCCTATGAGGCCTTGTTCGGTGCCCGAGAAATGCACAAACACGAGCTCAACCTCCCGTCCGCTTGACCTCGACTCCGAATCGTCCATCAGCAACGCTCGACTGAGTGATCGTTCAGTTTCTTCTTGGAGGATCTCAGCTATTGATAGTAGTACCGCACAACCTATGTATGTGGAGGAAACCTCAAGGGTTATTATAGAAAGTTCTTGTGAGGTCAGAAAAAAAGGTTGCTTACCGGATGCATTATCGTCAACCCCCGGCGCAAGAATCGAGCCGAATGAGCCTTTAGAGTCGTAATGAGCGGTGAGGACAATCGCCTCAAGCTCCAGTTGCTGATGATTGATTGTTCTGTTTTGTTGAGTAAGACGGTCATAATCAGAGCCTGACCAGGCGAGTTTACAGATCAAATTAGGCGCGACATCTGGCAGATAATGATCCAATTCGCAGCGAGCGCCGAGATGTTGGTAGCGATTTTGGAGCCACTGGACGGCCTTGAAGGCGCCTTCTGAGAACGAATGCCTGGTCGTCCAGTCCCCGTCTTCCGTCGACCTCTGCCTCTGATGATGATCATCGGCATCGCTTCCGCTCAGGATCTCGATGTCTCGTAACAGGTTATCGGGCTTGATGAGGCCCAAGATCTGGTCGATTTGGGGCTTGTAGTGAAGCCCTCTGAGTCGTTCTTCCAGTCCCCCGCTTCCTTGGAAACCTGGTCCAATCTTTGAGAGACGCGAGCCTTGGGATCGCGGCTGTTTTTCTTCTTCGAATGGGACATGACTGATCGCGCTCAACTCGTGTGTCTTCAAGAGGTCTGTGAATAGGCCGATGGATTGCAAAGGTACCTCGATCAAGACCGTTGATGATTTGCGCGGCTCATCGAACAGCGTCCTAATCCAAGGATGGCTTCCTTGTTGTTTTTCCAAGACCACCTGTGAGGATGATGATGATGGGAGTTGGGGCGAAGGGTTTCTTCTTCCGGGACTGGTTGGGCCGATTCGGTCCAGTTGAGATAGGAAGCTTGCCAATCGAGCTTCTTGATTCTGGCCGTCATTTATGGAGTAGATCAGACTATCCTCCTGAGGATGGTAGGTGATTTCGATTTTTGATCGATCGGCATGGTCGTCAGTTGATGGACATTCGATTGGCCTGGATATGAATAGTTGATGGTTCTCATCGGCTGTGGTTCCGATAAAGGTGTGACATGTTCCTTCTCTGTCTGTTCCTATAGGCAGCAGGCTCAGTTGCTGGAGTTGTGCGGTTGTACTGATTATGAGTCGGGTGATGAGGAAGATGGTCAACAGGCAGCAGTTGTGTTTGGTCTTCTTCATCTTTTCTTTTTTTTCTTTTGGCTTGCAGCTTCCTCTTGACCGTGCATGCATACATGCCAGCTGGCTGAAGTGAGGACGAAGGTGAAGAAAATTGCAAATGACGTCATGACTTGAAAACCAGAGCGAGATCATGTACGCTCAATTACGTCACTGGTCATCCAGAAGTGGGCGTCTTCTAATGGTTAGGAAATCTCGTTGTGGTCATCTCCCTTCTGAAGGGGCAATCCCGTGAAAATGTCGGTTCGATTCCGGCCGCCCACATTTTTCGTGCCTTCCTCGTCCCACCTCAGACCCGACTTTGGGCCAAGCCTCTCTGTCTCTTTGTGCCGATGCCGATGTTACTTTTGCCCTCGGTCGCTCGCGGATGGTGATCAACAATCGATCCGAACTCGTCCTGCTTGGGAGGAAATGTTGCAAGCTCGGTTGCTGATAAAGTTTCTTAGGTGCGCGACTGGACGGCTTGCACTTTTACAACTTCAGATGCGAAGTTCCCCATACCAATTTAATCCTTCTCTTCATTTTTTGTTCTGCTTGGCCAATCTTAGGCTCTAGCTCATCAGTCCATTAATCAATGTCGATCGAGTCTTACGAGCAAATTCTTTCCCCCCATCCTGAGGAACCACTAGTTCTTTCTTCTCCTCGTGAGTCATGGCCCATGGGAGGTTCAGTTTTTTTGACTGGTGGTCTTTCTCCAGAAATATATTGACAAGGGTGATACATAAAATGTCTTGTGATCATGCATGTCCTCATCATCAAACTTGAAACTGATGAGTAGTTTTCGATCAACTCAGCATCCATGAATTCTCCTCCCACTCATCATCTGTTGTGCCCCATCGCGTGCCATAAAACTTTGCTCATCACCTCATAAAATATGTATGCAACTACAAACTCATTCTCGGTAAGACAAATGCAGAAAGACAGAGACAGGTGCATGTTACATATGAAGATGTAAGATGATGAGGACGGATGACCGACATGAATTCCTTCTTCATCAAGTCATCCTCATCCACACATTGCTCTCATCTCCAATCAACAACACACACACCCAATTTCCTGCATTGTTATAGAAGCTTCTCTCATCTATTTTAACGTCTACAAATTTTTCTATGTATTTAGTCCCAGGAGTTTTTAGGTCTGTTGGGGCTCTCATATTATTCGTGGAATATGGTTTCTGATTAAGAACGGACTCGACCCATGGCCATATCATGCGCTTTCATGATCAACAAGTGTTTGATATGACTTGCTAATTGCTTTTCTTTGGCTCAGCAAATCTCTTTTTTTAAGTAAGCAAAAATTAAATACATTTGATATGTCCTCTATGAAAGTGAGTTTTACCCCACTTGGTACCTGATGAGGTCTATGTGATTTGGCTAGCCTATAGCAGTCTTTGAAGGAATCCTGCAGGCAAAACTCTTGCAAAGAATTTGTTGAGTGACAATGGGAAAGGGGAGAGTCTGTGTGAGACGAGCCTTTGTGACTCACGGGGGAAGCCCCGGGACGCATTGCCGGGAAAGATATACTCACCGGCGAAATTCAGCCCTGTGCCGTCTATCTGCTGATAAGCTAATAATCGCATGTAGGCCGCAATGTCCCCTTATCGGCAATCACAAACCCAGTCAACGGTTGAACCCAAGTAATCAATCGGGGGTTGTTTTGCAGGGCTGAAGCTCTAAAATGTTCACCCATGAGTTATCAATACTTCGGGAAGATTTCAAGTTATGCAGCACTAGTCCCCGAATCGATAGGAATTTACCCAAGCGAACCATCCGTTTGGGGGAAGTCCCAGGATTTAAGATTGTCCTCTGGGGGGGGGGGGCATATACGAGGTGAGCACATGCAACCTACGCTTCGAGAGTAAGACTATGGACGCACCTTCACGCAAGGCTGACGAAAGCAAAAGTTCTTACAGCTAGATAGAGCTGATGAGATAAAATCATACCAACATACATCGTTTCCAGACGGGCTGCAGCGGGCTGCCCGTCTCTGTCTGTCTGTCATTTTGTCAAGAATAGACCGGGTCAATACCAAACTCTGCTCAGCTTACCTACCGCATCCACAGTCTCAGAGCTCGCAGAGGTCTAATGGGCAGAAAAAAAAAACCCCCCGAAGCAATCCTGGCATCGATCCTGGCACCGGTATTGTTTTTGTCTTTCTTATATGCTTCACTCTGGGATCAAGCATTGATATTTGAAAGGGGCAGTATTAGGAATAGTTTGAGAGGAATACTTGGCAGGAGTATCCTGGCGTCACGCGCTTCCTTGTGAGTTTCCAATCCCTCGTGATGACGCTGAATGGTGACTCAGACTGCCCTTTTTTTTGCTAATTGAATTTTAGGAAGTCAGCGTTGACGACAACAGCAGCCCCACAGACGCTTGACCAGCCTGCACTGGCGGAGAAGCGAAGGTCCTTGCACTCGGTGGTTAGCGAATCGGGCCATAAACTGACGTTTCTAGGATTGCTTGAGCAAGCCCACTTCAGCCAGGACCAAGGAGCTTATACTTGAATGCTCCAAGCGGGACTTGGTTGCGATTGATTGCCCGATTGGACCAGGCCTGTTTGCCGCAAAGCGCTCCTTGAAGATACATCCTCACCCTAGTCTTCTGCCATTAACGTTTGTTCATGTATGTGGATCCCATTGGCGGGATCAATTTGAACTGGAGAAATTGGTATATATTGAGTTCCTGCTCTGCTCTCCTGTCCATGAAAATCTTCATTGCCCTTCATTCCTCCTCCCCTTCGAAAAAACCCAACCGCGCTTGTGTTGTGTTCAGCAAGCTTTCCACTCATTTTTCCATTCATTTTTTTTTTAAAACCCAACCCACCAACCCTCTTCAGGATCAAATCACCCGCTCTTTCTGCTCTGCATCAGTGATACCAGTTTGAACACTGCATCCTCTCGTAAGCAACATAGCAGGAGACTCTACTCCATCCTGACTTTTTCTTTGAGAGTCCCATTGTTGAATATCTCCGTCAACCCAATCCAGATTGCATCAAGAACAACATGAACCGTATCCAACTTTCCCTGCTTTTCCTCGCCGTGTGCTCGGGGCTTTCCCAAGCTCTTGGCTCCCCACACAAATCCCACAAATCTGCACCACGTAAGGTGGTGGCGCCGAAATCCCGGACCGTCTCGCAATGCACTCCGATGTCCGAGACCTTCTCATCCTCCGGATTGCCTCCTTCCTGGGTCCAACTTTCGACCAATCCTCAGGCTCACAAGATGAACCCCGGGGGTGGTGTCAATCTTGCACTCAACCCTCCTGTTGGACCTGTCTTGCAATCCGCAAATGGCAAGACCAACGACAAGCTGGGTGATGGTTCCACCCTGAACTCGACTTACTCTTTCCTGTAAGACCGCCATCTTTCCCGGAATCTGATGTCATCCGTATCGCTCAACAAATATCTTTTAACTGTCTGATAGCTACGGTAAAGTTTCCCTCACCCTTGCTGCCTCGGACGTACCCGGTGCGGTTGTAGCACTTGTCCTCTTCGGCACAACCACCGCCGATGAGATTGACATCGAGATCCTCGGTGGGGACGCCAAGCATTGGCAGACCAACGTTTTCCGTCCCGCGCCGGGGGAAACCGAGCCTCTCTACGGCGTCTTCGGTGGTGTTCACGACTACGCCAACGGGGGAACCACTGGTGGCATCCACACCTACACAGTTGACTGGAGTCCTTCCGGAGTGAGTCGCTTACCATAATCCCACAGTTTGATGTATCTGACGAAAAATCCCTCCCTTAACGTTCACAATCATCCAGATCACTTGGTCAGTTGACGGCCGTCCCGTTAGGACCTTGACTCCGGACCAAACCCTCCACAATGGCCAACGTCACTACCCTTCAGCCCGCTCGCGCATCCAAGTAAGCTCAACTTCTCCATGACTTACCCTCGTTTGAGTTACTGCTGACCTTTGCGGGTCACGATCACAGCTCGGATTATGGGACGCCAGTAGCCCCGAGGGCACCAGTGACTGGGCACACGGACCAGTGCCATGGTACGTGTCATTCATCTCGCTCATCCGAGTCGCGTGCTTTAAGCTGATTTCCCACGATCTTGTTATTGTAGGGCCAAACGTCAACGAAAACCGGTGACTGCTTTGATCAAGTCGATCAAAGTCGAATGTCCATACTAGTCCATTCACTTCTACTTTTATCCTTTTTTTTCGTCTTTTTTTATCAAACGGTCAATACCGTCGTTACCACACACACTCTCTACAATTTTTATTTCTGTAGTAGTACCAAGCCCATTTTAGACCTCTGGACGTTTGACACCCTTGCATGTATCTTATCGATTTATACACATTCAATTCTATATATCCAGCTTTGGAAATATTAACGTTTTTGCCATTCTTTGATGGGTTGTTCCTGACTGTTGCTTACCACAGCATGTGCCTTGATAGAATTAGGCTGATAAATTGCTGATTATGTACAACAAATAGTCTACTTGCACAAATATGCCACATCTCCTCTAGGTTGAAACAGACCTTGCGCATATTCTGGTAGACTTGATGCACTTGTTGCTTTTCATTCTATCTTTTCAATTTAACTAACAGAAAAAAAAGACAAACATGTGAACAAATGACATCAACATCATTGTGTTGTCTTTTCTTCAAAAAATGGTTATATGCAATTCCAAATGCTAAGATTGTCATTTCATTCTTTTCCCATGTTATGTGATCACACCTGTCACATACATTTCACACTCATTGTAGTTTACTTGAGACAGATGTGAACTCTGTGCCAGGTAAGTTCTCTCACATTTCTCCTCTTTCTTCTCTTTTTCTTGAGTCTTTGCTTTCATGTTGTTCTTCTCTTCATCTCATCATCACCAAAGCAATTTTGATCTCATCCTTCCACAGCCTCATCTTCTGCCTCAATGTTCACCTCAACACTCAATATGTAATCAAGTTATTTGGATTAAAATTTTTGTAGTTTTTTATTTCCAGCCAAACCCCTGAAACTGCATACCCCTCTGTGGAATGGATAAGCTATGCAGTTTGGGGGGTTATGTGTTAGGAAGGGTTATCTGTATAACCACATAACTATGTGGTTAGAATGCCCTTGGAATCACATAGATATTATGTGGCTTCAGGGGTTTTCTTGCATATGTTTTTTTAGTTTTAGTTTTATTTCAAAAAAATATATATATACACTACATATTTATATATGACAAAAAAAATGGAAAATGAGAGGCTACCTATCAAAGGATAGATTTTACTGAGCTTTCTGAGCTTTACGTCTTCACAATCCTTGGTTGCATCATTCAAACTTGGGTGTTCAGCAAGATTGTGCGCATAAAGTGTGTTGCCAAGACAGGGAAGATGGATTGAATTGGGATTGGCTTTAATAAGCTGGATAAAGGGGATTGTTTTGAGCTGAGCAATGGCGAGTTGAGATAAAATTTAGCTTGTTTTAGATCTGTAGGCAGAGATTGAAGAGGAGAAAAAGCAAAAACCGGATGGTAAACTATGTGGTCATAGTGAATATGTTCTCTAGTTTTAGGCCAAAAAGGGTATGTGGTGTAACTCAAAAAAAAATAATTTTTGCCCGGCCAACTACAGTGGAATGAGATCCCTATGCATTATGGGAGGTTAAGCAGTTACAGGAGTATGCAGTATCACGGGTTTGACTGTAATGTAAATGACTCTTGTGGGGTGTTGCTTGGGTTTGCACATCTGTTGAGAAACACCAGAAATGCAGCTGTGAGCTGAGGAGTACATCAAGGGAGGATGATGAAGTGAGAATTGGAGAGAAGACAACTAATCACCTGTGAAACACCAGAAAAGCAGCTGTGAGCTGAGGAGTACATTGAGAGAGGACACTGAAGCATGGATCAGGGAGAAGACAACTGATCACCTTTAGCAGGTGAAATCAAGAAGGAGGCAAGAAATGAGTGAGGAAAAAGGAGAAGGAAGTGAGTGATACAACTTGGTAGAAATATATATACAAGCTTCTAGACCCTATCACCTAGGCTGAAGTGCTTACTATGTAGTGTCACTCCTGTCTCAGGGTGATTTCAGCTTTGAGAAATATAAATTGAAGTTTTACACCAAGGTTAGAAATTGTGACACTTTTTGTGCATCTCCAAACCTATTCTTCTAACTATAAATATGTGTTTTGATAATAAGTTGATTGATATGAATTGAATAATCAGAGAGAAAAAGAACCAGGTAGAAATTAAATAATGGAAAATAATATTGATCAATAAATGTTTGTGGGGACACATGTCACACTGAATTATATCATAGGTAGACCTTGAACAAAACTTCTCTACAGTAAACTATTTACTAATCCACACCCCTTGAGTCAAGTGGAGTATGGGTTAATATTAAATAAGCCAAGTTTTTAGATATTTCTCCCATTTTTGTGGACCAATTTCCAAAAGAAATGTATGGGTGGAATGGCCTATGGGTTAATAGGTGATGGGTTAAGAGGGTGTAGACTGTATACATGCTTCTTAAGTGGTATCATTTAAAGAACTTGGATCATTTTCTTCAAGGACAAAACTTGAAAAAATTGCTGGTCTTTGTGTCAGAGGAGATTTTTGGTATGTCACATTGAATAATATCAATAAACATACTCTTACCAAATTACAGTACTGCAGTGAGAGTGTGAAAATTCAGTACACTTACAGGAATTTCAATTGGATGATCCCATTCATGTACATCTCCCAATGCATGTACATCTCCTGATTCATGCTCATTGATGTGCACATACAGATCCTGAAGTCAGATGCTGTAGGGTGCTGTTCAAGTATGTAGAACATTTTCAAATAACTCTGTTGTTGTTCAATGCCCTGATGGCACAAATGAAACAAGTTACAGACAGTAGCTCTTGAGCTCCATGTCAAGCAGGAGTAATATAAATACTCATCTGTTGATCCTTGGGTCTGGATCATTCCTCATGGATCATCTGTTTTTTAAATAAAAACCTCCAATAGCACTCAAATCAATTACTGTGAGAATAATCTCCCCCCAAATAATTCAAACAAGATGATTCAAAATTCCAGGTTGAAGAACTTGTCATCATCTGAACACATCATGTTCCCCTTCAGAAATTCACTTCATTTGAATCACTGGTTGAAAACAACCTATCAGACACACCTGAAAATTGAACTTTTTGTGATTATATTCCTTGCTTCCTTTTTTGCTGTCACATCAGTGGAACATGGTGTCTCTACATATCCAATGTTTGGAAACTCAGTAACAATAGAAAGCACTTGGACACCAGAAGTTCCTGCTCACAATATTTTACCAAGTGGAGAAATAACCAACCATCCACAAATTTTATCACCACACAGAGAATCTTCAGCAAAAAGCAATGAAGAAGTGATGACTAAAGCTAATTCAATTTGTGAGCTTACAAATATAATCAGAAAAATTCACCTTCTTGATAAACAACTATCTGAAATCAAGAATGATAAACTGAAAGAAGATGCAAATCAGCATCTCCGCAGAAGTTGGTGGGAAAAATTGAATCAAAATATTTGCCTAATGTTTTTGGGAAAACATGAAAGGAAGCAGCAGAGCTCTTGCCTCCAATTACTCAATCTAAGGAAAATTTTGAAAGAATCTCAAGCAACTTCCCATGACAGCGTGTCTCAAAGCAATCCCAGAAGGATCAATTTTCTGGGAAAATGGTTCCAAAGGCCTCATCCAATCACTTTGAAACCCAAGGAGTGGCAAGAGGAAAAGCTCAAAGTAATAGAACATTTATTGATTTCTGGAATCCAGGGCCCCAATTTCAATGAAGATGAGCTGAAAACCATTGAATACATGGCTGGTCATGATCTTGCCTCTGGAAATCATCTTTTGGCAAGAAATGTGGTCAACAACCTATCCACCAAAACAATTGTTGAGAGTAGACTTCAGAAGATTGTTGATTTACAAAACATTTATATTTTACAATCCAAGGTTTGGTACCAATTGCCAAAAAGGGGGATCCTCAGGGAATTGAATCGGTTTGAGGATTTGACACAAAACGGAGAAGAATGGAGCAAGAAAGACAGAAAAATATTCCAGCTGCTGGATCACAGTCACATGAAGTATCAATTTTATTATGGGGGTGGCTTCAACCACCCAGAATTGGGTTCAGAAATCACAAGCAGTGAAAAATTGGAATCCAGTCTAAATTCAAGCAACATTAGAGAGGTTTGGAAAAATCTAAATGTCGGTTTGAGGGCTGAAGATGCAACAGGTGAAGATTATGTCATTGATTTGTATTCTGGCGAAATGGAAATGTTGTTGAAGAATGTCCGCCCTATTGTGAAAGCCTTGCACTACCTTGATCTGATGAAACTCATTGAAGAAGATGTAATGAAAGAGGAAAGCAGTAAAATACGGCAATATGCTGAGGCCGCTTTTCGGTCTATGAAGCGCAACGGCATCATCATCACTGGCAAACAGGCTCACTACTATCGTTCAGGAATCCCTTATGACATTCCCATTGAAGATTTTCAAAGATATGCCGTTCAAGATAGAATAATTGCAAGCAGAAAGATTCCACAAGACCTCACAGATCTTGCAAATATATTGTTCGATTTGGACAGGAAAAAAGTTGATAGCAATGTGCGTGATCGGGGAAAGTTTTTGGCTAGATATTTGACAACGAATGAGCGGATGAAAATAGCAAGTTTAAATTCATTATCGGAATATGATGCCCAAATTGAATATGAAACTAAAATCATTCAACTCCTAAAAATCTTGATAAAAGTGGATTGTCGAGCGCAACATGATCCAAGCGTTGGAACAAAAATTATTGAGCCTTTGAAAAAACTATGCAATGATAAGGAGGGAGAAATTGAAATTCAAAAAAGAGGAGCAGCTGAACGCAAGAAACAGTCTGCTTGACCTGAAGAAAATTTGGACCAAAAGCATTTCCCTGTCTATGTTGGAAGGGAAATACCTTGAATATGTGCATATCTTTTCTAGATACAAAAAAACAAGAATGATATTTTCAGCACGGTCTAATACATGTTCAGTCAGGCTGTTATGAGCCAGATCTTTATGGAATTTGTTTTTGTATGAAACCCATTCAAAAATAATTTGAAAATGGAAATGTCACCTAAAGCACTTGCTACAACTTACAGGTTACCTCATCCCTTATTTTTGCTCCTATAAAATTCTATAGCTCTTCTTGGCCATCAAATTCTACAGTCTAACTTTATGCTCCACTTTTATATCATTGGTGGTTCAACTGTTGAGTTCTCTGCACCAGGCTCTAAAGATCCATCATTACAAAAGTATTAGTTTAGACGATTGAACCAAAATCTTTAAAAAATGTATTGGTTCATAGCAAGCATGGTACCATGCTGAAGATCATCTGACTGTCGTTGATTATTTTGACTGCCTGCAATTCATTGAGGGTGCTCTTGACACTTTTGGAGGAGAAATTCAGTCTATGCTTCGCGTATTCCAACAGCCTCGCTGTGAGAGGTGGACACAAAGGATATTGCTCTAAAAATTATGTTGCCTTGTTGCAGTAACATCGTTCTAAGGCATCATCTCGAGAGGATTAACGTGAGCTCGTCGAGACCCATCTCAAATTCATCAGCAAGCAGGGCGACAGATGGCTTGAGACCGATCCAGCGTAGGGATGGCTGTAGGTGCACTAAAAATTCCAATCACATCGTCCAGGTATGATAGGAATTGATCGTTCGTCTTGGCAGCTGGTTCCAAAGACGCGGATGGAGGTTCTGAAACGATAAGTAAGTTAACTAAGCTCATTTTAGCCGAAAGTAATCAAAGCAATCTACGAAGATATCTCTGCGGTAATCACCAATAATCCCCTCACGCTAACCATAGCCAATAGGTAACAATGCATATATGGGCTTGATACCCGTCTTTATTAACCAATCGACGAGGGAAGATGTCAGCAGCCACCAAGGAAGCTGGACGTAACGAGTGCGCTCACAGGGCCCCAGGGCCTACTGAAAAATCGGCGATTTGTGATTTTGTCCACGGCGCAGTGTGACAAGTGGTTTATGACTTCGACCAGGGGCAGGGAATTAGTCAAGTTAGGGTCTTCCCCGACCTAACTTGCGCCCCCCCCCTCTGAATAAAGAGGGACTTGGTCAAGTTAGTCCCCGACTGGATCTGAAGCACTCTGGCAATAGCCAGGTGTGGCACTGGAGAGGTGTGGAGGTTAGCTCTTGTCTTCGAAAAAGGTACAAGCTGACTCGACTCATGCCCTGTTTTTATTGCACATGTTTCAATAAGGAGGTGTCAAATTCCGGGGGTCGAAACTTGCAACAGGATGATTGGCCTATTGTGTGTACACACAAAGTTGGGTATTCTTCGATCAAGGAAAAAGTCTGCGGACCCCTAGGTAGCTGGGGCCGGGACTGCCACGGCAGGGGAGAGAGGCCTGTGAATTCTCAGAGGCAATTCCCGACCCGTTCTTTACTACGAAATTCGTGAAAGAATGTGGCTCCGAGGTTCTCACTTGTTAATCCTTGTCCCGCTCGGCGGCATGATGATTGACACCTCGGACGGCGCGCTCCCCCGGACAGAAGACGCGGGTCATTCGGCCGAGCTCCTCCAGCGGACCGACCAGGAAGGTTTCCGTGCTGAGGTGTACTGGCTTCCTAGCTTCAACCGACGCCGCGCTAACGGCATCTCGGAGAGCCACTCCGCCAGCCCGCCTGCCCCTCCGGATAGCAAGAGCAAGAGACCCGTCAACGAGGGTCGCTTCCGCAACCTATTCAAGAGGCTGGCCTTCGATTGCTGGGGCGGACCGAGCGGTACAGTGAGCTCTTTACCTACCACCTCAAACTTGAATCATCCTCCCAAGTCCCAGGGACCCATACTGAGTACACGATCGTCTGATTTAAATAAAGCTAACTGACCCAGCCCTCGGCCCGGTGATCTTGTTCGAGGAAAGATATGCGGAGATTGTCGGAAGAAAGAGGGACGACGAGCGACTGGAGCTTGTCGACGAAGCTTTCAGATACATCCTACTGAGCATCTCGATGTCCCGGACCGAGGCCGTCGGATGGGTGTCCATCTTCTCCGGACTCCTGGCTCACTACCGCGGCTCTCAGAGGCTGCCCACCTCCCTCGTCTATGGCCTCCACAGTCTGCTCCTCAAACACTTGTCTGACCCCACCCTCTCCTCCTCCATCTGTGATCTCCTCCTGGAAATACTCACCACCATAAACCCTCGCGTTCGTCCCTTACTCATCGCCAAATGGAGCCAGGGTTGGTCTTTTTTCATTCAGAAAATTAAAATCACTGCAAGCATTTCTGACGCACGCCAACAAAATATGTACGGCTTTTTGCAGAAATATTCAATCCAAGATTAGGTCTCAGTGAATCCTTTCGTGGGTATAGAAGGTCAGACCATAGGTATATTGACAGATTAGTGATGCCATTTTTTTTTTTTTTGTGCCTGATCTTGTTCTACAGGTAATTTGGAGAAACTTGTTAAAATAATATCCGCTGAGCCGACGTTAAGTGTGCTTCTGGCTGGACTGCAAGCAAAGCGAGTGGATGAGATCCTAGGAGGATTCGGAGTCATCGGGGACATATTCTCGGCCCGGGCGCCAGGATATTTCTCTTCGCAGACAAGAGTAGCCTCGATAGCGGTCCTCTTTCATCTGATCGGCATGGGCATACCGAAGATTACAGAAGAGGCGATATCGATATCCAAGGCGCTGTTGGTGAATGATGAGGAATACTTCCTGTTAGGACACGAACGCGCTCTCCTAGACAAGATCTTATCAGATTACAAAGAGGCCACATCCGATCGCGAACATACCAACATCCTAACTGGTAGTCAAATATTCACCGTTCAATCCCAAGAGCTCTTCCTGCGGACCACCGAAAAGGGGATCTGGAGCAAGCCTTACTGGTTTCCCGGATTCGACCAGTTCGCCGAGCTGAGTCTGGCAGAGCAGATGGAAGACTTCCACGCCCGTCTAGGTGGCTCGGGGCAAACAGCCGACCGTCAATCGGTTATCGATACGATCGAGCCAGAGAGCCGCAGACGTGCCTGGGGTTCTCAGCTCTCCTTGAACCCATCCGAAGAGATACCAGCAGGTAAAGTCTTTTGATCTTCTGAACAAGGACTGGCTTCTTGATCTCACCTCCTGGTCAAAACTGCAACCTCGCCTTTGTCATAGGTTCAATCGCCTCCAATGGAGAACTCGGGGTACTCAAATTCTTCAAAGAAAGATGTCAAGATCTCCAGAGAACTTCTTGCCCTAATGAGGCATTATTAAGACTCGTCCAACGGGCGCTTCTGTATATCCTGCAGCTTCCAAAACTCTCGTCAACAAGCCTCAAGGGATGGCTCACACAGCTCAAAGCACTAGCCATAAACACTTCTCGAGATCACGAGCTTCTGACTACAATCTTCTACGGCTTTTACAGCATACATCTCAAACTTTCTCATGATAACCAGCTCGAAAACCCCGTCCGACCCTTCTTGGACCTGCTCATTAGTAGCATCCCCATAAATATTCTGAGGGAAGTACAAGGGGAATGGAGTCGTGGTTAGTGGGCCCAGCCTCTCTTCCCCATATGTAGGCTTCGAGTTGATTGATCATAAGCTGAATGCCCTTTTCCGCTTTAGAGCTATTCAATCCAACCCTTGGCCTCAGTCCGAAATTTCGTAAGTGCTTAGTTGCCATTAAAGTACAATTGGATCACACCTTGACGTTTTTTATGATAGGTGATTGGAAAGAATTGAACAAGATAATAGTGAATGAGCCGACTTTGGAGAAGTTACGAATGTGTCTAAACCACCAAGAACATGAACGTATCGAGCAGCATATGTCCAGCCTAGAGCGAATCTTTTCTGGCCCGGAATCTGTGGGGTTCTCAGCGGAAACCCGAGTAGCCTCGATCGCTTTATTGGCCCACCTGATAGCTATTCCTGAACCCCGATTGGCAGAGTTTCCGTTGGGGCTCTCCACTTGGTTGCTGGCTGAGACCCGTCTCTTGTTCCCCCACGAACGGCTCCTCTTGGCTTCTATATTGCAAGATGTCAATCACTTAACCAGGTCTCCTTGATGGCTCTTCTGTTACACACCTTTGTCTGCCTTTTTGGTTGGTATTTAGACAATCTGGGGTGTGCATTTAGCCCACCCCTACACCAATGGGGGACTTCTTGACCCTCAGCTGATTGGTCATAGATGGGTCACTGCATCCCTTCTACACCGCATGATGACCTTGAGCTCAAGCTGGCATTTTACAATTCTGAAATTGCTGAGATATCGTAACAAATCATAACCATCCACTCTTGTCTCAATTTTTACTTTTCTCTTAGTTTCTGATATTACTGCCCCTTTGAACTAAGATGGCGGCACATTTAACCTTGTTTGCTTTCTCAACGAATAATAATATGTGCTGTATGCATACATAAATCATAGTGATACCATACCAATTCAAAGCATTCACAAAAAGAAATCAAATGCATCACCAAAAACAACACATAGGTTGTATTTTTGAGCGCTGCCAATATATGTATTATGACTAGTATGTGGTACTTAACTTGAGAAGGTACCCGGTCAGATTAGTTTTCACAAAGAATCAAACGGGGGAATGAATTGTAAGAATGCTTCAAAAATAGGTTTTGCTTGTATGAATTGTTGGAAAAACCTCAAATCAGAGCAATACAATTATAAAACCCCAGTAAATACTGTTTCATAAACTGTTATGTTTGAAAGAGTTGGTGTAATTTTTTGTAGCAGACACACCTTACAATGAATGTTTCCTGTCTGGATGGAGGAGATGTATAATCACAAGTTTTATCATAGCAATACTCCACTCAAAACAAGGTGGTAAATGCTTCAAATGTGGTACACTTACAAGACATTGGCTTGAATGGATATTGTACTTTTGATGAGATTTGTTTTCATGGGGTAAATTTCTTGGTTCATGATCATTGAAACACACATACAAATTTTGAAGCAGGCAATCATCAAAGTGAAGAATTTACAAACTGCTACCACATTGCCTGATTCATTTCTCATCCTGTGCCAAAATTTCTTGAGTAGAATCTCATGGGAAAAGATATAAAAACAGGCATGCCTGTGTCTTTTTTTTTCAACTTCTACATACCTCTTAAGATGAGTACTATCTTTTCTGAATGAAACCATTTCAAAGCTCCCCAAATTAGTATCTTAACAAACAATTACACCACATTCCACACAATATACTTTAACGTTCTAGTTTACAATACATCCTGAATATCATATTTAGAGAAAGAAGAAATGCTTCTCTTCAATTTACTACTTTGTATAAGTGTCTGTTTCTGGCATCAACCCTATCAGAAGCCCCTCAGAGTAGCACTTTTAGTGATTATTTTCTATTGCACCTCCTTGAGTTCAATCACAGCTATGGACGAGCTATACTCCAGAGGTTCAAAGATTCGTACTTCGTTTGAAACCAAAGGCATCTTAGAACCACATATTCTCACTGGGGAGAGTTCATCAAGCAGAGAACTACTTGGAATCAAAGAAATTGTAGCCTCACTCAAAGTGAAACCTGTGCTCAGTAAGGAAGAATTGGCGGATAAAGATAGTTCAATTTTCAAGCTCAAACAAATCATTGAAAAACTCCAGCCTCTGGACAAAAAAATCTCTGAACTCAAGAATGCTCATCTGCAAGAAGATGCAAATCAAATGCTGGAAAAAGGTTTGAACAGTGAATTGATTAGATCTCTTCATAATTTGTCTTTGAAAGCAGGTGGAAAGAAGCAATCTCATGCTTACTTCAAATTACTTCAACACAGGAGATTCCAGCAGAGGGTTTACCCAATGGCTAATCAAAAAGTTTTGTCCAGTTTGATAAATATGTACAGAGATGTTCTCAAAAAATCTCGTCCAATTTTTTCAGAACCCAAGCAATGGCAAGAAAAAATTGAAAAAGCAGTTGATCATCTTTTGGTTTCCGGAATCAATGGTCCCCACTTCAACTATGAGGAGCTTGAGGTCATCAAATACATATCTCTTTGAAATTTGAAAGGTTTTGACACTATTTTAGCAAAAGATACAATAAACAGACTTGCTACTGAAACAATTTTTCAAAACAGAATTGATAAGATTCATGATTTGCAAAAGTTTTATGCCAAAGATAGGCCTTATGAAAATCAACCAAGGGGAATTCTCAGGAAATTGAACCAATTGGAGGGTCTGACAAGAAATGGAGAAACATGGACCAAAGAAGATAGAAGGATCTTTCAGGAGTTGGAGAGGATCAAAGTGGGACCATTAATAGAAGTCTCTAAACAACAAAAATTGGATCCCGAAGTCACAACTACCACAAGGCTGGAATCCAGTCTTTCTCCATCTGCAATCATAGAAGTTTGGAGAAAGATAAATGCTGGCTTAGATGTTGAGTATGAAACTGGTAAAGATTTTGTCCCTGATCTGTATGATGGGGAAATGGAAGGTATATTGAAGACTGTACGTCCTGTGGTCAAGTACTTGCACTATCTTGGTTTGATTGAAAAAATGGAAGAAGTTGTCAAGGAAAGAGAAATTGATCAAGTAGAAGAATCTGCTAAGCTTGCTTTCCAGAAAATGCATGAAAAAGGTGTGAAGCTCACTGAAAATCAGATAGCTTTTTTTTATCTTGGCCCAGGAGAAACTCTTGAAAACATTCCCAATATTTATTTGCACACATACGCACTTCAACATGAAGTAATTGAAAGTGAAAAGATTCCACAAAACCTGATAGACATTGCAACTAGCTGGTCTCATCTGAACAAGGAGAGTATCATTTACACCAGACATCAAGGGGAAGAACTCCTCACCAAACATCTTACAGAGGAAGAGCGCAATGAAATAGCAATGTTGAACAAATTGAATGAATTTGATGGAAAGTTTAACAATGAAACTAAATTTGTACAAATTCTAAAAATCTTGATACAAGCAGATTGTCGGATAGAACACAATTCAAGAGTTGGAAACAAAATGGTTGATTATTTGAATCAATTACACAGTGAAATGGATTTGGAACTTCAAAAAGAAGAAAGAAAACTGGCTGAATTCCAGAAAAGAACTTCTAAATCTGGATAACATTTAGAGCAAACTCTGTTTGAGTAAACCTTTTTCTCTTTTTCTCCAGGTTTTTTTTTCTGATTCCAGTCTGTCTAATCTCATTTCACAGTAAGTGAAATCCTGTATGTAGTTTTCCTAGGATAGTCTGTGTGTTTGTGGAAGTTCTCTTTTCCTCATCCTTCCACAAACTCATTCCCTTCCCTAGATATGTTTAGTCCTGTGTCTCTTCAGTATTTTTTTGTTTTCTCTGTTCTAGTGATTCAATGAATCCCATCCTTCCACAAACTCTTTCTCTTCCCTAGATTCGTCATAACAAACTCTTACACTCCCATTCTTTTTGTTTTATTCTTACACCCACTTTAATCCCTTGTTTCTTTCAGTTTCAAAATATACTGCAAAATTCTTTGTTTACAAATATATATCAAGCTATAATGTTTTTTTTCACTTTGTGATCAGGTATGATTCTCTGATAGAAAATTAGATGGAAATTGAATGAATTCTTTTTTTTAAACTATGATTTTATGGGTTTTCTGGTTTGCCTTCACCTCTCAATCTCCTTAATAGGGGGTATCAAATATGGAAAATATGAAAACTTAAAACATCATTTTCTCTTGGACTGTTTCACCCCTTTCATGAAACTATGATGAAAAGGTGGAGTTTAATGTAATGAATTTTTATTGTAACACTTCATTTGTAAAAATTTATTGGTTGAGGAGAAATTGGTATTTTAAGTTTTGAAAATTTTCATATTTGATACCCCCTAATGATTTTTTTGATTTGGTCATTGGTTTATATACATCATCTTGGTTTAATTCTCTGGGGTTTTTTTAATGGTTGGTCATGTTTACAGTCAACAACTATATTTATCCTCAACAACCAAGGCCTTGCTGAGTATTCCACACAAACATAATTGATCGAAATTCAAAAATTCTGTTAAATCTTATCTCTTATTGTTAGCCCAACCATTCCCTTTAGGGAATAACTAATCCCAGGTGAGTTTTTTTACCCTGGATGCCTAATATATTAATACCTTGTATTGATGATGATTCTACCCCAAGATACATCAGGTTGGTTACACAAAGGCTGGCACAGGCTCACAACACAGACAATACACACCAATACCAATACATGTATTATCTCAGTTTCATTGTTGGTGAGAGGCATTCAGTTTCATTGTTGGTGAGAGGCAAGACCTTTTGCCAAGAAAACCGTTGTGGAACTCCTATCGTGCCAGGCGGTAGGCAGTTGGTTGAAGGGATGGTGCTTTGAGGGCTGCCTTCAAGGGGGGTCTGGATAAATTGAGCTGTGATCTGAACAAAACACGTTGGGGTTGGTTGGTTTTCTGAGAGGGGACAACAGAAGGTGCTTTCTGTGGCGGTTGTTGAGCTTGAGGATTGGTGGGTGTGAGGATCAGATGAATGAATAATAAAAAGATCAATAAGAATTGATGGGTCTATCTTGGATCAGATCAGAGTGCCATGCTTCCCCATCATCTCAGTTCAAACTGAACTTTGACTCTGGGGAGTGACATGTCACAGACATGTCATCACATCCCTAACTACAACACAACTCAACCAAAAAACAAAAACAAGACCACACTATACAACACTACACAACACTGGAGGACTTCCCGTCGGATCTGGGAGCCTCGCAGTTTCCGATTTAGACCCAAAAAGTCTAGATTTTTGCAGGGAAATCTAGCTTTTTCGGCTCTAAATCAAAACTGGGAGCCCCGCAGATGTTGACGGGAAGTCATCCACTACACACACAACACTACACACACAACACTACACCCACAACACAACACAGCACAACACAACACAGAACAAAACAAAACAAAACAAAACAAAACAAAACAAAACAAAACAAAACAAAACAAAACAAAACAAAACAAAACAAAACAAAACAAAACAAAACAAAACAAAACAAAACAAAACAAAACAAAACAAAACAAAACAAAACAAAACAAAACAAAACAAAACAAAACAAAACAAAACAAAACAAAACAAAACAAAACAAAACAAAACAAAACAAAACAAAACAAAACAAAACAAAACAAAACAAAACAAAACAAAACAAAACAAAACAAAACAAAACAAAACAAAACAAAACAAAATAATCAAGAGTGAAATAAACCAACATCCTGAGATGTCTTAGGACCAAGAAAGTTAAACAAGACTGTCTTCTGAGTAGGTGATTTGAAAAAGATAAGTAAGAATAATAAAATGATAAAACATAAAATCAAGATGAATAAAAAATAACATGAAGAGTAAATAATAAGGGGAAATGAAATAAAATAATAAAATGAGGAAACCATTGGACTGAGTGGGGATTTGAGGTGATATTTTTGAAATCTTGAGGCTTGATGATATTGAAAAGTTTGTTGGAATTTCGGACCTGTTATCAGCTCCGCTCCTCCGGTCTCAATCAACTCGTTTCTGTACTTTCTTTTCCTCTCACTTCCTCCTAAATCTTCTCCTTCTTCTCCTGTTTCATTCCCCTTTCGTTATCTTTGTTCCTCATTCTTCCAATTTCCTTATCCTCCGACATCACGACTCCGGCGCATAAATCAAAACCACAACTCAGCCAATCAAGACATTCTCTATAAAAAGCGGCATCTGTCTGATCCAAATCCTCTCCCTCAGCAGTCTGTCGACCAAAAACCACCTTCGACCACTTCAATCTCACTCGCTCCTCTCAGCCTCAACTGCTCGGCTCTTCACCTCAACATCCAACAACTCACCCAACATTCCGAACTTCCACTTTCCCTTCCGTATCCGCATCATCACCTCTTCCTTCCTCTATCTCCTATCCCTTTTCTCTCTCATTGAACAGTCCTATCGATCTCGACGACATCTCGATTTCTATTCAGTTCAATCTTCACCACTCCTAATCTCTCCGACTCTCTCTCTCAACATCCTCTCTTGGCTATTGCCAATTTGGTGAGAAAATCAAAACTCACTAACCTCATCAAAGGGAATCGATCAAAGTCTCTAACCCTTTTTGTTTCCTCTTCTCAAACTTCAGTTCTTACTACTTCTCTCTTTTTGATCTTATATACCTAAGCTTGTCTGCTCTGCTTCCTATTAATCATAAATCTCACCGTGGTATGCTTTCTTTTCTATTTCTTATATATCATTGGTTCTCATGCTATTGTTGTTTTTCTGATGTGTCTAATCTCTTGTCTTTCATTTTCAAAAATAGTTCCTGGTTCTTGTTTCAGTAATACTACCTGTTTTTCATCAAAGTTGAAAGTTGAAAGTTGAAATTTGACCTTGAGGGGGCCTGTACCGTTTAGAACACCACACCGTTAACCAGCTTGGCAAGAGGTCCTGTCATCTAAACAATCAGGCCATTGACCAGTTTGGCAAGAGGTCCTTCTACCTCAACAAGTAGAGATAGCATCAGGGTATCCGTCACAATACCCACCATCAGGGTATCCGGTGCAATACCCACTATCCACTGGCGGATACCCCTCAGAGGGAATTTCTCAGCCTGGAGACTGTACCGTCTCAAGGCCAACAAGGCGCAACCTTGTTGAACAGAAGGTCTTCCTTCCGGCTGACAAGGTACATGTACCTCTTTGACTGGAAGGTTTTCCTTCTGGCTGACATGGTACATGTACCTTGTTGACCAGAAGGTTTTCCTTCTAACCAACAAGGCACATTTTTTTCCCTCTGGTGGACAAGGTACATGTACCTTGTTGACCGGAAGGTTTTCAGACCTTCCAGTCAATTGTTGGCCGCCAGATCCAACGACCCTAATTGGTGTGATTGTGATTTACGGGGCAGATATCCGAGGATATCCGCTGAGGCTGAGGGATACCTGCCAGCGGATGCAGATGGCTGATTCCACTAAAAAAGCAGGCAGATATTTGGATGTGCTCTGGATCCATTAACCCCCCATCACACAGGGCTGGGAAAATCTCACCCCAGGGCTGGATCCAAACTCTCAAATCACATCTATGGTCCAATTTTCTTGGTTATTGGTTTATACAACTTATAGAGTCTTTATATGAGCATCAATGATCCAGCTACACTAACAGTAGCATTATCAAAGTGCAATTCGACTAACATTCAGTATAGCCCAGCAGCATTCTGCCACAACTGCACTAACGCTATGCACATGAGCCACAAACAAGGGCCCACCACACTGTGCTACATCACATTTGAGTGGTTTTTTTTTTTTGGCCATTTTTGACACCATAAGCACTGTGGTTCAGCGTAGTGGAACAAACAGAGTTCCAATACTACAGGTTTGGTGCGCTGTTTTGAGGGCTGCTATGCTAATGGTAGTGGGCTGTTTAGTGGAGTTTAGCCTAGCTGCCCATTGCTGGTTTGAGTTTTTTTGGATTTTATTTGATGATGTCTTGGGGGCCTTGCTGTCTGAGTTCCTTTTCACCTTCTGCCAGATCCTGGTATTGCAAAGTGATCTAGGATGTATTTTTTTTGGTGGTATTCTGATCCTTTGATGGACTGCTGGTGGTCAATGAAAAGGATAGATTAGAATGAGTGCTGTATTGGTTGGAAGCACTGATCAAGAACCCAATGCTGTGGCACAAGTTGCAGGATAGAAGCCCAAGGGTCTCTTATAGCTAGAGCAATCAGGAGAATAAAAGAAAGCTGAGATTGTAGCCCAGTTGATACTTCTATCGTCTACAAATCTCCTTGTGCTTTAGTTTGCTCATCACTTCTTTCCAACTGCTTGCCAATTCTTGACTACTCATTGCAAGACGTTCTTCATTTAGTATGTCTTCATCTGACAGTTGTTTCTCTCTTGTCTTGATGACAGCAAACTAATCTATCTTATATTAGTCTCTACTTTCTCTTGCCTTTCCTGTTTCTTTGCCCTCTCTCGTGTCATTGTCCTGCCACTTGTGTTGTCACTGCCTTTAGGTACTTTTTCTTTCTTTTCTCTTTCATTTGTTTCTTTTATTTCTTTTGTCACATTCTTGTTACTTATCAGAAATAAAACCTTTAGTTTATGCATTCACACAGTGGGTGTTGGCCTCCCAGAGCTTACTTTGACAAAATTTAGTGAAATACTTAGTCTTGGAGGACTTCCCTTTGATTTTACAGCCCCCTGCAAAAGCCTGTAAAGCTATCTTTACAGGCTGTCAAGTTGTTTTCTCAGTAGCTCTACAGCCTGTAATTCTATGTAGCTTTTATACAGAGCCTGTCAAACCGACGGGAAGTCCTCCAAAGCCCGGAAAATTCTGGAAATGGTTTTCAGGTTTGTCTAGCGCAGGTTAGTGCGGCCCCGGGGCCAATGGGATATTGCCGGTTGGGTTAAGTTGCCATAGCTTTCGTCAGTTTAACGCGATTCTGGTTCTCATCGTCTGTTTAATGGTCTTCGGTTCTCCGAACTGTGGGATGTCATGCATCAGAGAGATATTTATGTGCGCCGATATTCGAAGTTTACGTCAACCGTATCGGATGATGATAAGGATTGTTGATTGATAGTCGATCTGTGATCTCGGGGGGTGAGGGCTCTCCCCGTGGTAGTCCCGTGGGGGCATGACTCTTGTGCAGTGTGGCTGTGCAGTCAGTTGGTGGTGGTTTTCTTTTTTTCTTTTTTTTTTTTCTGAATGGTCAACAAGAAGAAACCAACCAAGAACCATGTCAGAACTACTACCAGCCATCGAAAAACAACAGAAACAACAACAACAACAACAACAACAGCAGAAACACAAGAAGACAAAACACAAACACAAGCAACGAACAACAAAACCAACTCAGTCAACATCATCATCATCAACAACAACAACTGAACAACAACAACAACAGCAGCAACAACAACAACAGCAACAACAACAACAACAGTACAATCGTCTATCAAACCCAAAAACCGACCCACGCAGGGTCAAGGTCTACGAACTACAGGCTCAAACTTGGATCGACAGAGGAACCGGGCACTGTATAGGAATCTACGAACCAATACCAGAAACAAACCAAGCTCAGGATAATCAACAGAAACTACTGCCGATCGCAAGACTCGAAGTACGCCAAGAACCAACAGATAGCTCACCAGGCGGACAACTACTCCTGCAATCTCAAGTACTCATCCCAACTAACCTCAATCGAACCAACCAACAACACCACTCATCACCCTCATCCTCCTCATCCTCATCCTCATCATCATCATCATCGCCATCATCCTCTTCCTCATCCTCTTCATCCTCCTCATCCTCATCATCTGAAGAGCAAGATGACACTCCCGATCAAAAACCCAATCAGAATCAAGATCAAGCTCAGAATAAACCACTAACAAAGAAACCTAAACCTTCCCCACATCGTCGAAAGTCATCATCAGCACGTGAAACCCTCAATCCACCACCATGGCCAGAGGGAGGTGGGATCTATCAGAAGCAACAGGCTACATTAGTAGTCTGGACCGAACCAGATGGAACCGATATGGCACTCTCCTTTGCCACCGCACAAGGCTGTCAAGAGATCTGGTCATTCCTATGCGACGTACAGAACTGGCTCGTCAAACTACCCTACCAAACTCATCCATCTACCACCACTAATAGCCATCAAATCATATCATCAAACCCGCAATCGGTAAACCGAAACAGACCCTATCAGGATCATCTCAACTCACATCGTAGGAAGGATGCTATCGATTGGGATGACGAAGAACTACATCTGACTAGCACTCAACCTATCTCCAATCATCACACTCGACAATTACAACTACACCATCAACAACAACAACAGCAATACCAATCTCAACAGATAAACAACAACCAACAGCAATCCCCTGGAAATGGTGACCTAGAAGGACGTCCATCGTTTTCGATCTCACGAGACCTTCTCGATCAACAATCAAATGACGATCCAACCAAAACACGACTGATCAGTACTGGGAACGCCTCTCCACCCTCGACCTACAACCATTTACTCAAACCGAACCTCCACCACCTCTCACTCCAACAGTTCAACCAACTCCCCGAACCCGCCTTGGCGAATCTCAGCGAGATCGAACATTTGATCAAGTCATCCAGTTGTTCGAGTATTGGCCGAGAACGGATCTCTACTCTGATCCTCAAGAAAGACTATATCCGGAAACTCGAACCCGTGCGGATCGAAGCTGAAGATCTTGAAAGCTTGAAGGATCTTCATACCCCTTTGCATGCTACTCCAGAGTATCTGTAGGTCTCTATTCTATCATACCCTCCTACTGCAATAGTCACTGATCCCCTTCAATCTCATTTTCGATCTAGTGATGCTCAATGATGCGGCAATCTATGAGTACTGCTTGCAAGATGAAGTCGTGTTGATTGCAGCCAGCATTTTAGATTGTCAGTCCGATCACCACAGAAACAGATTTTTTTTTCTTTTCTTCTTCTTGACTAATCTGCATATATATCCTGCCGTTCATTTCAGACGATCCTGAATTTGGGAACCAAAAGGCCTCATATCATGCCGACCTATCCGATCCAACGAGGTTCAAGGAAGTAGTGCCGATCAGGGACGAACAGATCAAGTCGAAGATCCATCTAACCTACCGACTGCAATACTTCAAAGATATCATCCTTGCACGAATCATGGACGACTCAACTTTTTCGATCATCAACTCGATGCTCTTCTTCAACCAAGTCGAGATCGTCCAATACCTACACAGTAGCGACCACTTCATGCGCGACCTGTTCGGGATCTTTGATATGGGAACCGACCCACCACCAGCCAGTTCATCCTCCCCCATCATCGGACCTCCCCTACCGCCATCGATGGTCTCTGAGCGCTCCAATTCTAAGCTCGATGGGCCTGCACTCCTTGAGCGGAAGATCGACACGATCATGTTCCTCCAGCAGCTCTGCTCGATGGCCAAACATCTCCAAGCCCCGTCTCGGATCAGCTTCTTCCGGTCGCTGGCCGAACGCGGAATCTTGAAAGTGATCGAGTTTGGGCTCTCGAAAGAGAACCTGACTAACCGCAACACCGACCCGTCAGCGGAAGAAGAAGGCTCGACAGCGCCTCCAAAGACGGATGAGGTGCGCGAGGAGGAGGCGATGATCAAGTCGGTGGTCTGTGAGATCCTGATGACGATCATCGACTACGATCCGAGTAGCGTGCGGGGATATTGCTTGAAACAGCGCCAAGAAGGCACCAAGACTCTGGCAGAGAGTTTGATCGAATTGCTGATCTCAGAGGCCGACTTGGGCCTCAAGGTTCAACTGACTGACGCCCTCAGGACGTTGCTCGACATGGGCGGAACTGGCCTCGGGAATCCGTCGACCAACATGGCCCTTGCCGATAGCAACGGCCTGCTCAAGCGCGACGAGGATCCCGATAACGAACGGTTCCTTCAGTTCTTCTATGACCATTGCGTCCATGTCTTGGCCCGCCCTTTTCTTCAGCTCCCCGAGCTCATTCCCTATGCTCCAGGTAAGTCGATCTCCTCTCTACACAGAAAATGCCTTCTCGCAGAGATTAATTTGGGGTGGACTTCCGTACCAGACGACCAAGAACCGGTGTCGATTACTCCTTTGGAAGCTGCCACGTTCAATCATCTGTGCGAGATGATCTGTTTTATCATCGTCCAACACAGCTTTCGGTCCAAGTATTTCATCCTCTCGACCAATCTCCTGAACAAAATCGGCAGTTTATTGAGAATCATTGGGCCCAGAACAATGATCTCCCCCTCGCCTACAAGTAAGACGACCCTTCAAGGAGGGAAACCCAGGACAGCAGAGGATGAGAAGGATCAGAGTGTCGTTCCTCCTCATCCTCAACAGATTCAGAAGAAGAAGAAAAGCTCGTATAAGTATCTCGAGTTGGTCGGCTTGAAAATCCTCAAGACGTGCTTCAATAAAAAGGACCAGTTCTACGACCGCGCCTTGATCAAAAACTCGCTCATCGACCACGTCGTCCTCGATCTCTTTGTCTTCCAGGACGGCAAAGATAATTTGGTCTCTTCTGCTTGTTTGGAGCTCTTTGAGAACATCCGTTTGGTCCGTCCTCTCGTCCCATCTCCTATCCTTCTCCACAAGTTAAATAACACTCTTCCTTTCTCTTTTTTTTTTTTTTTGATGTGTAGAATAATCCGAAACCGATCCTTAATCATTTGATGGATAAACGCCCCGATCTCGTCAGACTTCTCGCCCAGAAATTCAACACTTTTCATAGTCTTATCCAACGATGGGAGCAGAACAATGAGCACCAAAATGCACAGAACAATGCTCCCAATTCCCAATCCTCAACAAATCCTGCAGAAACCTCGTAAGTTTTTTTCATGAACTCTATCTCAAGGAAACCAAAAAGAGAGGAAATTGATAATGTTTTTTTTGGGGGATTGGATGGGAATGTAGGACGCAAAATGTGCGGAATATCGGGAGTTGGTCTCGCAGTCGAACCTTAGATGTTGAGGAAGAGAATTACTTCAACGATTCGGATGAAGAGGGCGAAGAAGGAGGAGGAGGAGGAGTAAGAGGAAGCGAAGTGATGATGATTGCGAATACGTCTAGGATGGGAGCACGGGAGGCCGCAGGGCAGCATAAGCGACAACGTTCGATGACGGGTGTGAATCCGGAGATCTTGGCGGGTCTTCGAGGAGAGAAAGTGTTCGGAGGAGGAGGAGGAGCCCTAGTCAGAGGAGGCGAGGGTGGAGGAGTGAAGCCGTTAGTGGATTACCCGGACGAGGATGAGGAGGCCGGGACCAGTGAGTCTACGACGACGGTGACCGGCCCGTCGACGACGACGAGGACGACGACGGCAGTCGGGGCCGAGGAGGCCGAGCAAGGGCTCTCGGGCGAGCCTCCGCCGAAGGTCCGGCTGGGCGAACGCAGACGGCGCGAGGAGGACGAAGAAGACCTGCTCGGGCTCGGCGGGTTGGTCAGTGGGGCGTCCGGGCGCGACGCCAAGCGCGGCAAACGCTCCGTCCCGATGGCCCGGATCGGCCCAGCCACCAAACCCACCTCTTCCTCTTCCTCCAACCTCTTCTCTTCGCAGAAAGAGAAACCGGGCTCGGTAAACAATTCGTCCACCCTCCCCGTTGGCGTTTCTCCTACTACGACAAACGTTAAGCAGGGCGGAAACCCCGCTATCTCGAAACTTACCGGCGTCGCCACTAAGAAAATCGTCCTCAGTCTCGCTAGCTCTAGTCTTATCGCCGCCAGCTCTTCCCCTCCTTCTTCCTCTTCTTCCGCTTCTTCTTCTGCTCCTTCGGCTTCTGCACCTGTTACGGACTCGAAACGGACCTCTGATCAGGCGCAAGTGCCCGCCGATCCCGAGCTGACCAGGGGTTTGTCTGCGCCGGCTTCTTCTTCTTCGGCTTCGGCTTCCTCGGCTTCGGGTTTAGGTCCGGTTCCGGCTTGTCCAGTCGTGGATCCTTCTTCTTCCTCTACGACTAAGACTACTTCTACTTCTACTTCTACTTCTACTTCTACTGAGAGTTCAACTACAAGTTCAACTGCTACTCCTGTTGTTCTTCCAATCGTCCCTTCTCAATCTCACTCTCATCCTACTCATCTTCTTCTTCATCCTTCTTCCTCTGCTTCTCCTGCCCCTGCTTCTTCTTCCTCTTCTCCTTCTTCTTCTGCTGCTTCTTCTGCTGCTTCTGCTTCTTCTTCGCTTCTTCCTCATTCTTGATCTCCTCTAATGTTTTTATGATCCTGGTTTCCTCCTTTTTATTTTTCACCTTTTTTTTTTTTTTTTTTTGATTGATTGATTGACTTTTTTAAATTTATATTTCTTTGTTTTGTTTGATTGATTCAAAAACCATGTTTTTCTAAGAAAAAAAAAACAGAAACCTTATATGTATATAAATAATCTGGCTATGAACATATGTTCTTATAAATTTGATCAATTTTTTTTTTTTTGGTTTGAAAAGAAAAAAAAAATAGTTGATACACAAGTCATGTTTGTAGTGGTGCTCCTTTTCAGTGTATGAGAGTAATGGTTGATGACCAAAGGTTATACATATCTGTACACAGTACAGTACACAGTAGGTTGACCAAAACAATGGACCCCTCAAACCCTGCATTTTTGGTGTCACCCTCAGGATTGTTTTTCTGTTTTTTTGGGGGGAGGGGGGATGTGAGTCAGTGATCTGGGGCTGGCTGGAAAAAAAAACTGTGGTGGGGAACAGATTGGTTTGTTTGCAGGAAAAGAAAAGAAAAAGTTAATATAATTAAAAAAAAAAAAGAAAAACTGCAATTTTTTTTAAAGATTTTTGGGTATTGCTGGACCTTTCTGTCTGATGCTGTGTCCTGTCATGCTCATGAGATGGGATTAGTTGGCTATGGGCTGGGAGATAAGATGGTGGCTCTGCTTATATGGGTTGCTGCTCATGTGGGGTTTCCTCCATGTGCTAAAAAAGACAATAGGCCGGTTCACGTCTGAAGTTCAAGGCAACTTTTAACACACTTGAAGATAAAATTTTATGAATTTTGTAAAATTTCATGAAGCATCAAGTTTGGAGGAATTTGATATTTTTGGTAAGTTTGCAAAATTTTAATGACAAATGTCATTAAATTTGCCTCAAAGTTCAGACGTGACCGTCCTAATGAATGCATATCAATTATGACTTCAATATATCAGTGGTGGGAATCTGCTGGGAATTTGAGGGAAGGGATGGGGTTTTTTTTGGGAAAGAGGTGCCTGTTTCTAAGGACTTCTTAATGCTCTCAATGATCAGGTGGGATCAAGTGCACTTTGAGAAAGAATGAGAGGAGACTTGAGTGTCAGCTCAGGACTAGTGATAAGCAGAACTGACTATCTTTGATCCCTTGTTATAGTATCTGGAAGTCTTCAGCATTCTAGTTCCAAGCTATTGAGTTGTGGGAGCAATAATGATCCACAATGAATGATTAAGAATAGAAAAAAAAAATAGACAACATGCTTGATAAAAAAAATCAGAAATGAGTGACAAATTTGCGTAAGAAAAGAGGAGGAGAGCACTGACAAGCACAAATTTCCCACAAGCCTTTCTTGGCTGTCATGGTCACTAAATCAAGACTTCTCTCTTCCTCTGTCTAAGATTTAAGGACTGTTTCAAGTGAGTCTCATATTCTTCCATACTCCTTCTTGTGTCACAGCAGATGAGTTGTTGGATACATTCCAGGTTGGCCAAAAGAAATGCATGTTAGTTTTTTTTTTTTTTGATACACGGATTTTTATCACACAGTGAGAGATCCAACAGGCAGCAAACCAACATTTCAATTAAAATAACTTTTTTTGCTCAAGCAAACTTTTTTTTATTTTTTATTTTTTTGTAAAAAGTTGCAAGCATTGTTGGTTTAGCTGTAAAGAGAATCACTTGAAGGTTTCCCTTTGTAGACGACAGCCATCGAAAAAAACAGCGCCTGAGGATGGATGATCTTGTGATTACATATAAAGCCAGCCAGCAACGACTTCAACGTTTGCTTGGTTATCAGCCACCGCTTACATAAATACGTAACGTTGTGCACAGCGGGAGTGATCAATGAAAATGTGTTGAGCCAGTGTGTTATGTACATAATGTCCTGGGCGGATCCACGACAAGCCGCACTCCAATCAGCGCTTGAATGACTAAACCACGGCTCAAGTTTTTTTTTGATTGACGTTGGCACAGCTTTGCGGTCAAATCCGGGGCGGGGCCAACCTGTATCCCTGGCAATTCACCTTGCCAGCGGATTGATGTGGACAATTGGTCGGGCATACGTTGGCCCGACCTGTCCGACCCACCAGCCGGGCCAACATTGTTGACATTCCATGTTGGCGGAGTCGGTGTAGCTCCCAGGTTGGACATGGCAGCGATCACTTACTTGGCCAACAACAAATGGCTCTCATCATCCGGACAACGGCGGCAATAGGTCAAGCCCTCGTTGGCACGAAAAAACTCCCGCACTGTCTGGAACCCGCCCTTTGTTCGACTGAAGATATCATCATCCCACCCCACTTGCGACCAACCTGCCTGAAGAAAAAAAATCGATGGCCCAAACTCATCCAACCACCCCTGACGCCGTGCCAACCAGCCCCAAGCTCGAGCCAATCACCCTCAAATTCGAGCCGGTCAGCCCCACAGCCAAGCCGATGGACCACCCATTATCTGCCGAGCAGAGCGAGCCACCTCTGCAATCCATCCCTGTTCCGACTGCGGAGCCGGCTAAGCATGCAGTGAAGAAGTCACCTGTGAGTTTTCTCTGCTCCATGATCGAAGCTGAACTCATCGGAGCTAACATTTCACCTGTACATTCCACCTGTTGCTAGACTAAAACTTCTCCCAGTCAAGACTTGAGACATAGTCGTCGAATTGTTGACCAGGTGCACGGCCAAGGAAGTATGTCCCTTAAGAACCTCAAGGAACACGCACACATCAAGGGTGGACGACCAAAATAATGTTGTCATCACCTTAGTAAGTATCTCCATCGCAACAACATCCTGACCGATTGATGAAGAAAAAAACAATAAATTGTATTGGAGTTTAAACTCATTCAAATCACTTTACATACTATTCGATTAGCAACTTCCGAGAACTTCCTGTGAAGAGCCGATGACAAAAGCGATGCAGAATTGATAACATAGTGTTGATTGTCGTTGTGGGTAACCTCTACCATCTTCCAAGACCCCTTCCGTCTCTCCACGTTTTCCGTCCCGGTCTCTGTGAGTTGACAATCACTACGGTGACAATTGTGCTGAGCATTCAGTCTAGTCTTAATGGCCTGAATGCCATGAATCAGTTCCACACTCTGTAATGGATGACTTGAATCTGAATCCTTACCGATAATCTGACAAGTACTGTCTTAGGTGTCCTTTGGATTTCCCGCATGTTATAATAAGAATTTTGTTCCATTTTTTGAAACACAGTAGTGTAAACAAAAAACCTGTTTTGATTGGAGGCTTCCTTAATCGTCCAGATAGAATTGATGCGTCCAACATGATCACAAGGCTCTGATATTTCTGTCTGCGTAGAATTAAACTGTTAAGATTCAACAAAGAAGATCAATGAAGTCAGAAATGATGGAATTTAGCCAAGGAAACAGAGGATGACAAGGCTTCAGGAAATACCAGAATGAAGTAGTCTTTTTTGAGGACTTGCTTCTTGTTGAGGTTCAGTTCAGAGATTTGCTTGATTTCAAAGTCAGGATATAGACTCTTCAATTCTTGAGGAGTTTCTACTTGATGAATTGCTGGTACCGAGAGCTTCTTGATACAAGGATAACTTTTATTTGGAAGGGATGCTGATTGATTATAGCCCAAAGTCTGCTGTATTAAGGGATTCTGTGAAAAGATATTTGTGACTTGATTGGAAGATTGAAGATATTTTTTTTGTTTTTTATCAAAAAAGAAACCACCAGAGATAATTTGACGGAAAGAGTGATAATTACTGAATGTGATAGCTATATCTTGACCAGGACTTTGACGGTTGGAGTGAATTGAAGCATTTCTAAGGATACCATTATAGCTTTCAAACTTTTCAGTGGCAAAAAGACAAGCTGGACCAAAACGGAGGATAGATTCAGGAAGATGAAGTAACATATGGAATTTGGCTTGATTGATCCATTGGGCAGAGTCTTCAATTATATTTCTTAAGAATATATCAATAGCATTCCTCAACTCAGAAATATATTCTGTCATATCTTCAATATGAGTTTGGAAGATTAAGGAGCCCAAATGACAGAGAGAAGACCAGATTTTGATCTTGGATTCAGTCATGAACTGGAAGAAGATGAAAGGGGCTGCTTGAAGAATGATTCGGAAGTCTTTACCAATCAAACTTGATGCATATTGTACCATGCTTTTGGGTCTAACAGAAGGAATGTTGAGAGAATTTGTGTTGAAAGAATTCCATAAAGCCAAGAGGTCGTCTTTTTGAAGTTCGTTCAATCCTTTCATGAAATCTCTGAATAGATACTTTACTGCACCAAGCAAAAAAACATGCAAGATTTCAACTGGAGTGTCCTCGACCATGTCAAAACCTAAAAAAACAAAACAAAAAAAGTCAAAAAAAAAATTTGAATGAAAAAATGAAAACCCAAATTAGCAAGCAAAATAAAAACCTTTCAGCTCCAAAAAAGAATTCAACATCCTTTTTGGTTCCTTTTCTTCCATATCCACTAATTCTTGAGGAATTTCTTGATCCATATGAGTTGGTAATTCTTCTCCATTTTCCAATAGTTCCAGTTTTTTTGCATCGAATTTGAATAACTTTCTGGAAAACTTTCTGTTGATTTGATCTCGAACACCAAACTCGGCAGATTTCTTGTCTAATTTATCCAGATTAACTGTTTCCTTGACATGCGTCCATAGCTTTTTAGATTTTTCCTTAGTTTCTGCCATGGTTCTGAGTTTATTTGGGCACTGTTTTCATAAAGGAAAACAAATGAGAAATTTCTTTCATATAAAAAAAACAAAAGAAAAAAGGTAAAAGAAATTAAACCATACATTTGATCCATGCAAGTTTTTCTGTGCAAATTTTGAAATGTAAGGGATTTTCTCTCTTTCTTTCAAGCTGGAAGAACTTAAGACACAATATCGACAAGAATTTAGAGAGTTTCCAGGTACTGGCGTGTTGGTGATTTCAGCGTGCATAGGGGAATCAGCTAAAAAACATAAAAGGCTAGTCATGACATGAACTTCTTGGCCAATTGTGCTATCGTAAGCTGTAAAACCATTGATGGCCATGTCACTAAGCCAAAAAAAAAAAAAAACAAGGAATTAGAAAAAGGGAGCAAAATGTAGAATCTGTGAATGAGGAAAATAATACTTTAACTGTTTAACAACCATCTCCCCAAGTTCTAAAGGCCCCACAATGTTTGAAGTGCAAAGGAAATGACAATTGAATTGTTGATTGGAAATCTGAGGAGGCAAGCCGGAGAGTGTAAAATAATAGGAGATGTGTTTGTTCCATTTTTTTGATTTATTTCCAGATGTATCATCACAGTATAAATTGATTGGAACATTTCTCAAGATCTTTCCGTCTGCCTTTTCTCTCCAGGGATTTGGTAAAGTGATTTTTGGGTTCCATTGACTCTGTTCATCAATTTCTTTTTCAAAAATATGCAGAAACAATACATTAATACACATAAATGTTTCATAATAATTCCAATTGTTTGGATTCTCACCATTTAGCTTTCCAGAACAACATTCTGATAGCATTGATCCATTACGTGTCTTAATTTCCAGATAGGTCAAGTCTAGTTGTTCAATAGGGATGATTTTGAGATTCTCATCATCAAAATCAATGTTTTCAGAAATTCCAATTTGGATCTTAGATTGATCTTGGTTGGATTTGAAAACTGGACTGAAGCATTTTGCAAAGATCTTGGTCTGTTGGGTGTAAAAAAAGATAGGAATGACGGTTTCAGAAGACAGAAGTTTGGTGGGTTCGTAGATGTAAAAGTGTTTTTGGTTTGATTCCACCATCTGAACTCGAAGATCTGGCAACATATGTTTCAGCCATTTCGCAGACTGTGAACTCTTGTAGACATTTTTCCCAAGTGTCTCTTCCGGAAGAAAATCCATGTGGGGTACGACCAAGGGATTCATCAGGTCCTTTTGAAACACATCAATCACAAATCAGCTCAAGTATTCGACCCACTTTTTGTACAAGACTCCGCAGTGAAAAAAAAAACCAGTAAGCACTTACATCTCTGATTAATTCTTTTGCATTTAGTCCAAATACTGGCTGACCAAAGACGGATTCTTCTTCAACGATAGTTCGATTGGTCATTTGACGGATTTTTCTTCGCATCGTTTGCAAGGCTTCCCAGCGCGGCAGGAAAAGGTGGTGCAGTGTCAAGACGCTACAGATTATATGGTACATGTCCCGCGATATAAGTTTGTGTAAGTACCCAACTAAAAGGGAACCAATAAGGTACTTCAAATCGGAATCAAAAATCGTAAGATCAATTTGTTATATTTCCTTTTTGATCACAAGAATACTCAGCTCACCTCTCTATTTACAAATGGGTACCAGGCCGAGGTTTCTGGTCTCACATTTGCGATTGTTTCCTCCTCACGTCAAAAGAGAGGTGAATCAGCGGATTCATTGAGATCCTCCGGCTCCAAATTTATCTGACCAGCTGCCACACCAACGAAGTCCATCCAATTCAGCTCAGCCTCCTCGTCATCGGATTCCTCCACCTGAAAAGTACCCCGTGGAAACCCTTTGACTTCGTCCTCCGTTTCGTTTCCACTGTCATCGTCATCAACTGGGTTATCGTCACCCATCACAGTTCCAAGCTGGTCGATTGTATCGTCAACAATCATTGCTTCCTCAGTCGTATCTCCACTCGCGGCCTTTTGAGCAGACTCTTGATCTCGCCGCTTTTTATTCAGCTCCACTAGATTTTGATGTCATAAGTTCACACAATGTTGCTTTGTGTTGGTTGTTGCTCTTCCTCTACATAGCAGACACTCATATTTTTTCCCTCGAGTTGTGCTTCTTTCAATAAAATCTATAAAAAAAAAAGGTAAGTTTTTTTCTCACTTTTTTTACGTGCATAAAAAAATAGTTGGGCTTACACTTGAAATCCTTATCCATTTTTTTGATTGATTTAACTGAGTACAGCTTTGTCAAAACCGATCGAAAACAATTAACTGGACTGTTGGCGATTTTTTTTTGGTGTGTGAATCCGATTGCTGCCCTTTACTCTTTTCACTTTAGTTTTTTACCTTTTAGACTAGTGGTTCCAATCGGCTGATCATTCCCACACAGCCTCAAACATTTTTTAAGTCCTCTGATCGATCCTTGTTCTTCATCCCTCCACTCTCAATCCGTTTCAATCATTCTCCAATCATTTTCATTCCTCCCTCCCTCCACTTCCATTTCATCATGTTGAACATGAATGATATCATCAATGGAGATCCGGATGATCCTTCAACTCAGTTTGAAGGAGTTGGAGATGGCCCACCTACCCCCCCCCCCCCCGATGAAGATGACCAACACTCTCCTGATCACATGGAAGAAACCGTTCAAACCGAACTCTTTGGGTCTTTGTCTACCGCGGATGTCAACATGACCGATCAATCGTCTACCCCTCATCCTCTTGATAACAACATCGATCGAGTTTGCTCTCACTTCCAGTCACAGCTAAACCTCGAACCCGAGTATTTGAAGATTGCTTCCATTGCGAGCAAGGTGTGTCCTTCCCTTCATCCAAACTCTTCCTGCTTCCATTCATTCTCGTCTTCTTTGCCTTCTTAACCGGTTTGATTGAACTGTTGATCAACACATTTGCTTTGGCTTTCTTCTTGCCAACAGTGCCCCCCAGAAGACCGGTATATAGGTAATCTCTTTGCAAACGGTGCATATCATCAACTCGATGTCAGGAACATAAATCGCTCCCAAGTGACCCATGCGTATGACAAATGCTTCAGAGTAAGAATTTTAACATTATCAATCTTTCTTTTCCCCTTGCTTACGACTTAACCAAATCAGTCATTTGTTAGAACCAACGCTCGCATGTTCTTACTTAAGCCAACACTCGAAGCCTATTCGAACAATCCTCACAACAACGGGAGCCTTCCCAAAACGTTGTTCTACCTTACTCTTGTAAGTGATTAATCCCTCTTGACCGATTCTTCACATGATCTCTACTGAATCGTTCTGTGATCAGGATGTGGTTGAAAAACAGCCTGACCAATGGAAAAAGGATCACCTCTGCCCTGCCCAACTAAAGAACGATCCGGATGCTCTTTGTCTGTATTGTGATGCTGTTGGAGAGCTACTGAAGTATCAACGCAGCAATTTGCGTACTCTGGTAAGTCATTCTATTGCACACTCCACACCACCTTTTCTTGATTGTGTATGTTTACAATTTGAACTTTGAAGCTTTTGCATAACATCCTCAAGACAAAAAAGATACATGTGGATGGTGCAGTACCAGCTCGCAAAGTGATGATAGCTGCTGTGAGTGATTTTCAATCTATCTTGGGCTTTCTTGGTATGTCTCACATCATTATCATTTCACCATTTAGATCTATAAAGAACTTCCTCCAAAAGGAAGCAAAATGAATCAAACATAAATCGACCATCAAGTTGCCACAAACTCTGCCATGCGAGCACGAATGTGCTACGCACAACTTGTAATGGTCCACTACTATGCTCATAAATCCAATAAGGATTCGCAGTGGGCTGAAATTGATGAGCGATTAGCCGTCCTCCGAGGCTCCTCATATGATTTCCAACTGCAGTAAGTTTTTTTCTCTTGATTGCTCATTTGATTCAATCTTGATGACCTCCACTGTTGTGCTGTTACAAAGACATGCAGTCCTAGTCTTGAACAAGGACTTTTCTCTCTTCTCTCAGGGGAAGGAGTACACTGATATATCCAAGGAGGACTTCACCGTGCCCGACCTTGAGGATGTCCGAAGGTCGATCAAATCTGGGATTGTGCCTGTTACACTTAGATAGGTCACCAGCTGCATGCAACTCTTTCTTTGTTCAACACCGTACCAAGATCATTTGGAATTCCCGAGTTCTAGAATCCAACCTGTTTTCCGCTTACTTTTATTTTTTTGAAGCTCAATCTATCAAAATTTTTATATACTTTTGTCTAAGAGAAAAATGTTTGATGTACGACTGGCCATGTTCCATCCTCACTTATTTATTGTTAAAAAAGGAATCCATTCCTAAAAGAATCGGCCAATTTCTTTCTATCCGGTTTTATTATTTCAGTTTATTTTTTTGAGAGCAAAAAAACCGCCGGATTTTCCAAATGGGAAATCCGCCCGGTTTTATTTTTTTTACATCAACTGCATCTTGCCCGACCTCGGGGTTGTCCCAACTGCAGATTCCCCTGTCGGCCTTGTCAAGCGATTCACGACACGCCGACTGTGGTGAATATGCCGTCAGCTCAGGGAAGCCAGCCCGATGTAAGCCCCGTGTCGGAAGGTTTTCCCACCGCGGCCCCGATGAGGAGCCGGCGTTGGGAGCTACCCCGACCGCAGACGGCCACGTGGGTCCCGCGTTGGAGGTTGGGCCAACAGCGGCTCCCGATACCTCCCGCTCCGAGCCTCTGCAGGAAATTTGGGCGGGGTTGGGAGGGTCGGTCCCACAAAAAATCCCACGTCGCCCCGCGGTCGGTCAAAGTTCGTGGTGTATCTTGGCGGAAGATAGATGAGCCCCCCTCTCTGACCGTTGAACTCAAGTGCACAGCATTTGAGACGCGCTTATCCAAGCCAGCAGCTGATCGGCGGCCAGGTTATTAAAGAGTGAGGCTGGTCCCTATCATCCACCAATGACAAGCTAGGGATTCCAATTAACTCGGACCAGTTGCACTGCCAAAAAAGCGGGGCGAAGTGCTGAGCTGTGCTCTCATCGCGATGCATGCATTGGTCTTGGGCAGGAACTGCACTCGGTGATATTTACCAATTCCAAAATCTCGAGTGGCGAGGAACTAGTGGTTTAGCCACGCCTTTGACCAATCTTGAAGCCGAGATTGTGGATTGCTATGATCGAATACCGCAAGTTCCGATCAATCGATAATCGATCTCGAAGGCGCACGAGATGGGTTTGAAGACATCCATCAAGAAAATCAAATCAACCAGACTCATCGGATCCTGATCAGTGACTTGGTTTGTCAATTGACTCTTGGTCAGAGCACAGTCCTCATCATTCAATCAAGCTGACCACTTTGCACTCTATCATCGGTTATCGTGAATCTTATCGCAAGGGAAACAGTCTGGATCATCATCCATCGAGCGTAATCGTAGTGATCTGGTTAGTATATATGTATCAAGATTCTCGCGTTGCTTTACTTCTGCACTCCCAGCCTACATACCTCTTGTCTCAGGAACTATTATACGATCATTAATCACTTCTTTTTCCCATTCAACCCAATCTACAACTGAAACGGGGCCTGTTCAACGAAGAATACATCGCGGCCATCCTCAAGGAACCTTTCGATCAGTTGGATCATCTACGCCCAGAGGGAAAACTGCATCGCAAACTCAAGGCTGCCGATGTCTTGTTGAGCTCAACAGGCGAGGTCAAGCTATCTGATTTCGGATCCAGCGGTCAACTGACAATGACCAAGATGAGCAAACACCTTCTTGGGTGGTTGATGTCTCCCTCGATCATTAGAATAAATGAGCGTCGTCTCAGTTAATTTGCAAACCGTTGCACTGACCCCCCCCTCTCTGTTAACCTGCTCACGTAGATGTCACCTGAAGTCATCAAGCAATCTGGTTATGATTCTCAAGCGGACATCTACTAGACTGTGCTCTGGTGCTGTGCTAACAACTCAGATTGTTTCGTTGTGGTACGCATCGTTCTTCTCATCCTTACATTGCCTGAGTGTAAAAAAACCAAGTAGAACCTCACCTATCAACTCTGTGCTAGACAATTGGATTTCAATATCGTTCCATTTCAGGACATGAGTGCCATCCCACTGGGGGGATTTGAGCATGTCACCGGCTCAGCAGGCAAATGTGGTTTGAAAAGTCAACATAGTAAGCCGTTGAATTGTCACATCCCATGACAGGTGGTCTCTGAGGGCTTCTTGGAAGAGCACCTGGTTCAAGTTTGCCATGTGATGAATTCCAACTTATTGTTTATGGGAGACCACATGTCATGGGATATGACAGTTCAACAGCTTACTATGTTGACTTTTCAAACCACATATGACGAGTCGAGGATGTGACATGATTAAATCCCCCCAGTGGGATGGATTGGCACCCACGTCCTGAAATGGAACAATATTGACATCCAATTGTCTAGCAAAGAGTTGATAGGTGAGGTCCTACTTGCTTTTTTTACACTCAGGCAATGTAAGGATGAGAGGAATGATGCCTACCACAACAAAATGATCTGAGCTGTTAGCACAGCACCAGAGCACAGTCTCTTGTGTCCTTTCCAACTCATTCACTCACTTGCCATCCAAACACATAGAGTAGAAGCAACAACATCTGCTGCTCTGTTTGATCAGATTTGCAAATCGTGTGGCCATTGTGTCCTTTGGACCCACCCAGAAGAACTGGTCTTCTGCAATATTGAAAGGAAAAGTACTGGACTCATCCTTGGTACCTCAGAACCAGCTTCCTAGATTGAAGAATCAATGGGTCAAGGAGTGGATCTGGCTGGTTCTATCTGTGAACTAATTACATAAGATATCTGCTGAGGATGTGCTCAACAGATTTCCAAACTAAAATTGGATGATATTCCTGACCTTCAACTTGCTGGACAGGCTCTCTTCCTACTTTTTCTCTGCAACCTTTTGAGCTCCATGGTTATACTCCTTGGAGGCTTGATCAAATCAAGCATTGAGGTGTTCAAATTCAAGACATCCCACATTTTCCTTGGCAGATCTGGCTGGTTTTATCTGTAAACCAATTATACAAGACATCTGCCAAGGATGTGTTCAAGAGATTTCCAAACTAAAAGCAGGTGACGTTCCTGACCTTCAACTTGCTGGACAATACATTGTATCTGTATTGTATCAAAAACAGATACTATACAAACAGTTCAAAATACTTGTATCTGGTCATAAATACAGCCAGACACAAAAAATGCAATACTGTATCTTTTTGTAGCTTCCAAAATTTTTGTTGGAAACAGTCCAAATTGGCCAAACAATCTGTAGTAGTTTTTTGATACAATACAATTTTATTGTATCTGAAATCAGATACAATACACAATACAAATTTTTGATGTATCAGAAAAAAGATACAATACAAAAGTATCTGCAGATACTGTATTGTATCGTATTTTCTTCACCCTTGAAGAAAGTTTAAGAAAGTATCCTGGTCTGTATGATTTGGGACAAGGGGGAGGGGAAATGAGGAGAGCACAAGTCAAGAATTTCAGGCAAACACATCAGTAAAAAAATCTATTCATAAATCGATAATGATGTTTCTGATTTAGTGATGAAGTACTAATAATTTGAGAATATATATCTGACCATTTTCAAAAGTAGCATAAGCTTTCTGCAGATTCTTCAAACAGAGATTGAAGTGTTTCTTTGTTGTTCCTTTGACAGGCCTTGTGTCTTTGAGAGCTTTGCTATAATTGGATATGTTGAATCAAAAAAAAAAAAAATATAGTCAAGAATGTGATTATCTGAGCAATAAAAAAATTAAGACATATCAAGCAAACATCTTACCAATAGGATGAGTCTGATGAATTTACTTTTTTTCATTGCATTTTGGATGTCAAGTCTTTGTGGATAATCTTTGGTGGCTATGTTTATGAAACCAGCAATTGTGCTGCCTTCCTGTGTGGTGATCCATTTTTGGAAGAACATCAACCAATGAGAATTTCTTCCGGTAGAACCAAGTGGTTATTATTGACATCAGGTCATGAAAATCTTACAATGCTGAAGAGGCCATCAATTTTCCCATTAGCTTCAGCAGCTTGAGAGATTGTCAAAACTTCAGAGGTTCTCAATTCCTTGAGTCCGCCTAATAATGTGTTGGTAGTTTTCATGTTCAGCACGATGGCCTCACAAGTGTAATATGTGTCATCTTCCCTCGGGTTGTCTCTTTTGTGAAACAGTCTGTCGAAGCTCGGGCCTTTGAGCACAGAATGAAGTCCACTGAGCCAGTATTGTAGGATAGAAAGTTGTCAGCTTTGTTGATCTTGATTCTCTGCCACCAGATCGAAAGATGGCATCAACTCACCGGATTTCAAGCGGTTTACCAGTGGAAGGGGAAGGTGCATCACTTGGGCTAGGGGTTGCCCCTAAACATGTTAAAACAGTAAAGAATATGAAGCATGTGGAGATGGAGAATCTTGTGATGAACATTTTGTATGGATGTATACCTCGAGATAAAATGGAGGATTATGGAACACTTTATGATAGTCAATTTCTGTTTTTAGTGAGCAATGATTTGTGTGGGGTGATCCAGATTGAAAAGCTGATGGGATGTGAGGTTATACACACAGTACACATTGGCCGAGGCCCGCAACCCGAGCGTCGAAGCTTTACGATATTGTACGTACCGTAAGAAAGGAAGGGTAGCTTAATCTCGTCTCCACAGGCCTCTACAAGCTTCGCCAATTTCCACCTTACTTCTGATCACCAATTCACACGTAACACAAGTCCCGCCCCGGGGCGGAGTCCTATCAAACTAGACCTAGTTACAGCATCTTACCTTCCAAACGGAATCACTTGTCGTGATACAGGACTGCCGTATAGTTGTGCATCAGTCATCAGGTTCCCCACACAGTGCATGCATGTCTTATGGTGATGAGCATCTGCCGATGGGTCACATCCAATCAATTTACCCGTCTTCCATTTTTTGGACTGTATTTTTAATAGTCATTATGGTCGGCATCAAAAAATGGATATTTGCCAGTAGATACACTTGGACGACAAAATCTGCTGATGCCTCAAAGAGTTGAGGCTCCTGATGGAGTGGATGAGGGTGCCCAATATGTGGATTTACTTTGTGCAAGATGCTTTTGGATCGGGAATTATTTTCGCTCTTCAACCTGGAGAAGACAACATAAATAGCAACTTTAAGGACGATGTTAATCTATGAGGAAATGTGATTGGACTTGCCATTATGACGTGATAACTGAAGATCGAGGAGCGTGTCATCGGCATCAGCGCACACCTAAACTCTCGATTATAGTAGAGGAAAACATCTGCACACCCAAAATTTGTTTTTATTGCTGGATCTGTAAAGATGGGTGACCCGACACTGGAGGTTTGCAGCTGAAAGGCTGCTTCTTGGAACGGTCCGACCATTGATCCTCTGAATAACAAAAGAAGCCCCAAAATCAGTAGATATCCGCTGTGATATATTGAGTGCCAGACCGACCGTGTCATCCAGCCCAAACTGCCCCCATTCCGTGCCTTATCCTCACTCAATTCAGATGCAACTTTATCAAACGAGACCCCGGACTTGAGTCGAGCGATCGCCTCAAGTGCATTAGATTGCTTGGAACAAAGAATGTGTCGGACCTGTCCTCAGAGATTCAAAAAAAAAATCTTGTGAGTAATCACAAGCTCAAACAACATTCGTGAAGAATTCATGCACTGTTTACCTTCAGACTATTGGCCGGCTTGAGTTTTCCGGCGCCGCTTGACTCTAAATATGTTGGGTGAATGGAAATCGGTGAAGCCAATCAGTAATCCGACATAGGAAAACCAAATGTATATTTTGCAAGCTAGTAATCTGAATGCATACCTGAATCGTTGTTGGCATTTGGCTTGACCGCCTTCTTCGATTTGGGTGCCATCTCCAGATTCCGTCCTTCAAGCAGATCGCTTCGCTTCTGGCTGCTTGCGGTCGGCTTCACCACCCGAGGGTCGCTTCCGATCCCCCGTGGTACTCGACTCCATTCATCAACACCCTGTGAATGGATGACTTCCCGTCGGCATTTACAACCCTCGCAGAATTGGATTTACACCATGAAGGACTTAATTTTTGGCAAAAAAAAATCTTTCTTCAGAAGCCTTGTAGTAAAGGCCCTCATGTGAGCTAGTTGAGGTTGTGATTAGAGTGTTAATTTAGAACTGAGAGAGGTCTAAAAAACACTCTAAACCGCGACGGGAAGTCCTCCAATATCTATTTAGAGTAGTGGCTCCACAAATAGGCATCCATCAAATGGCTTTTCATCACTTCTGAATTCCATGCCACTGTCAAGCAGTCCATGCCTGCCACGGAAGTCAGTCTTAACGCATTAACATTCAATGGAATCAACCATCAAAGAAAAAGGCTAGAATGCCTGGCAATTTATTTCCAATCCAGCCTGCGCACTTCAAGAGCCAAGATGAAAAAATGCAGCTATCAAGGCCAAAATTCACTCTAAAAAAATGCTTCCAAAAGGTGACTACAAGCTTCCAAAATGATATCTGAAATTGGAATAGACACCAAAACTCGACTTTTATCTTTGAATGTTCTCAGATATGACAACAATGCGGCTCAAGTGTGAAGGTGATATTGGTGGCAATAGTGCCAGTACTCTTCTTCACGGTGACACTGGCCTGGCAGCTCATTGGAAAACCACTTCACACTCACTGAAAACTTCATAGAGGTTGTGAGCCCAGGGTTCACATCATAACAATGTCTTCCTTGATGGGCCGGCCAGGTTTGTGCAAAAGCTCTGAAGTCTTCTGGCACAAGTTTTTATAATTAGCTACATATGTACGACTTGTCGCTTGTTTCAGCTTCCTGTGAAATTGCTACATGAGAAGGGATTGTAAAACAATCTCCTTGAAATCTCGAGAATTCTTTCGAGCATGTACACCTATACCGGATTTCGCATCAGAGCCTGTGGACAGTGGAGTATGGAGCCTGATCTAGGGTGTTTCAAGAATTTCTCTGCCAAATCAATACCTCCCGGTCCCCTCTACTTTTCAAACGTCCGGCGTGCCGAACCCGAGTATGCCATGCCTCACTGTTCGAGCTTATGTACTTGGGGTACTTCTTGTGAAGGTCTTGGTCAGAGTGCCCGGACATTGCACCAGATTTGAAACGATTGCTCGTGTTACAGATTGACTGGTCTCCTCGCCCATATCACTGAAAACCAGCCTTCGCAAATGAATGTCACCTCCTGGCCCAACTTTCTTTCCATCAGTGTCCGCTGCACTTGGTCCTGACTCACTCATTTGTCCATCCAACAATCTTTTCGTGGCACCTCAGCTAGCCACTCCGCCCTTTCAAGCTTAGCTTGTGCATCCGGCTGTCGGAAAGCCCAGTTGTATCAGCTATACGATTCTTACCCGGTTTGGGCGGCAGCAAGTTCTATCGGTAATTCAAAAACCTCTTACGGATTAAGGCCCTCAGGATGAAGTGCCCTATCCTCTTCACGAGTGTCTTGTCATGCTTCCTGTTAGTATCCCTACTCCCCGTACAATCCATGCAATTCATCTCGAAAACGGCGACAATCTCCGACGGCAAAGGAATCGGCTCAGTGGCTGCTACCGCAGACGCGGCAAAAGCCCGCGATATAAACGACGTGAAGGACTTGAGGGAACCTCTTTTACCATCCCAACACCCTCAAAATCCACATTATGACCAACATCCGGAAGATGAAATCTTCCATAACTCGCACAGCGATCGCCCCCTACCGCCACTTCATTCCAAGTATAATCCATTCAGAAAAATGAAGGTAAGTTCCCTCCCGACCCCAAAGATTTTCCACTGATTATGCTCATTTATTCAATCTTTCTAATTACCACTACCATCAGTTCACGGGCCTTAAAAGATTCTTTGGTAAATACTTCAAACTCCCAAACTTCCTCAACAAATTCTTTAAGTTCATGACCAAAGGTTTCGTAACCGTCGAAAGGCCATTCGGAAAAAGCGGTACGTGATTTATTGCCATCTAACACCGTAACTCAAGACTGACATCAAAGGAGCAGCTCGCATACCGAATTACGCTATCGTGCTCAGTGACTTGCCAAAGTGGGAGGAAATGGACAAAGATATTTCACAAATGATTACCGCTCTTCAAAAATGTTCGTCACTTGATAGATTCATCACCTAGCAAGTTCACTTCAGACGCACTGACGCCCCCTTTCTTGCCCCTCGGCGTTTCATCCTCCCACATAACCGGGCACCCAACGATATTTTTTTTGACACTTGGCACATTCTTCAGTCGAGCAAATGGACTACCTAACTCAAATTCCAACAGACAGCCAGATCCTCGCTCGCGTCTCACCAGCGTTTGCTGAGGTTCCATATCTGGCCGACCAGCCTCAATTTATCATTGATGCAAGGAACGAGCTGGAACAACTCAAGGGGGGTCACGCGATCTACGAGAAGGAACAGAAGGAGAGACAAATGTTGCTCGTCAAATCACTCCTCATGCTCAGCAGAAAGCCAGAATTGAAGGAAGAAGCATTGGCTGCGATGGAAACAGTGATGTCAACTCTGAAACGCTGGGAAAATGCTGATCCAGAAAAGTTTGCACCGCCCCCACCTCCAAGGCTCACACCTTACATCAAGGCTGCTCACTATGTGATGACTCATGAAGGGAGCGACTTGGCTCAAAGATTGCTTAAAACTACCGAAGGAGGTAAGCTCGCTCAAATCTTGACTGAACAATTAAGTTGAATGGACTTTGCTAACAATCAAGTTAAAAATCAACATTTATAATAATCCATGTTAGGCGGCGGACACTTCGAAGCGCATTTGAAGAGACGTAAGTTCGAATGTCCTGGGCACGCAAAACACTAGGAATGGGGTGAACTTAACTGATTGTGTTCCTTTGTCACCGACGCCCACGAAAACGCCGATTTTCTTATCACAGAAACAATGGAGAGCTGGCTCAAAATTTTCAAAGAATACAAGTCCAAGGATGTTCATCAACTATACGAAGCGATGGCTGCCAAGGAGGTTTCTGAAGCTGAAGCATCCAAGAAACTAGTTGAATGGTCTGCCCAGGTAATCAAGCCACAACCAAGCCATGTACAGGACATGGATGACGTCGTTTTTGCACTCGAGACTCTCTACGTCCACTCTTTGCATAAACCCGAAGGTCTAGGTGCTCGAAACCCTGCGCTTGAACATCTCTTGGCTGCGAGACACGAATGGCGAAATCAGCTTGCAGAAGATCGCGCAGTTCCTGCGGCCATAGATGTAACTACTCACTTAGCAGCCCAAGAAGCCTCTAAATTGCACTCTGCGGAGCTTGAAGAAGAAGAAATTGCCAAGTAGCCAAGCTTCGCACCAGGTTCCTCATGATAATCCATATATGAATCCAGACTCGTCTGTCTGAATTCCAAGCACTCGGGCGACACGGGCGGCAAAGGATTACAGTTCTCATATACACACACACACCATGGGAAGGCCTAGCTTGCAAAAAGAAATTAGGACTGCTTTTCCACTTCGTTCTTCTTCATCACGCACACCTGTGTCATCATGTTCAGCTATTCTTGGTTTTTCCGTTTAAATAATTCTTATATCATTCCTTGAACTACTTCTAAACTCTCATTCTTTCATTCGCTCTTTTGTACTTTCTCTTCCATCTCACAGAAACAAGTGACAATTTACCACAAATACTTGCACCAAATTGTCCAGAAAACCACCCAAAAACACCGCAACAGAAATACCAAGTGCCCTTAACATCCTCTGAAAGCTTTGCTTGGGAAATCAGTTCATCTGAATTGCAGTTTTGGATTACTATTATATTTTAGTGCTACGGGCAGACAATAAAATGATGCAAATTAATCTAGGTTTGATCAGGAATTTTAGACTGAAGAGTTCCAGTCTTCTCCCGGCTCCCCAAAAGATGTATTCATTTGGCTGCCTCAAATCAATTGAAAGTCTTCCATTTATGATTTGATCTTCAACTACATATGAGAAGTAATTAGATGCTTGAAGAAATAGAACTTGGAGCAAAATGTGTCTCTGAAGGGCCAAATGCTCCAAATAGCAATGATGAATAAAGAAATTAATTTCAGTGTAGGGAACAAAAGAGCATTCAAATTTGAAATGATCAATGAATGAAAAAAAATCCAATTGAAGCTTGACATTTCTGCCATGTGTTTTGAAAGAGACTTGGGGAGAAATTGGAAATATTGTAAGCAGAATGAAAATTAAAACACCTGGAAAAGATATCCAAAAGTTATCCCAAACCCCAAAAATAAAAAAGGGAGAAATGATCATTAGTGTTGGACCTAGGTTATCAAGGAAGCTGTGTAAGCTTGTATTTGATCTGTTTTACTGCATGAATGTTGAATGGTTCCACTAAGATTTAAAAATTGAATAGGCAAGAATTATCTATCCAAAGAAATAAATAAAGTGACGGATGAGAAAGTGAGTTTTTGTGTAGAGTGTGTATGGCTTGTGAATATTTTGTTGTTGTTGAGTGGTTTCAGTTGATCAAGTTTTTCAAATGGAATGGCTGAAATCGGGAAATTCAAAAGTAAGGAAAAGTCTTCCAAAATGAATTGTTCACGCTCCTTGGCTTCGTAAGTCATTCCTTTTTACTTCCCTCGTCGGGCGGCGAACAACAAACTCAGTTCTTTGTTGAACGAGCCTGCGTAGCTGTTCTTGTTGTCGTATGAGGCGATCTAAGAGGCCTTTCCGACAATTATAAACAAGAAGATCCTTATCTTTCTTTTCAAGTGCTACATTAAGATAAGGCCAGTTTCCAGTGAACCAATCAACAAGGTAGATTCAGAAATTCAGAACAAAGCAAAATATGAGTTAATTTGATTCTTATTTTTCGGGATCCAAGCTCAGAAATTACAGCATACCTTCTATTTCTTTGCGATAAGGCTCCAAGCTCTTACTTGTCATCAAAAATTCTGGATCTAGATCATTGAATGATGTTGCAATATTCTGAATGAAATTCTGCTTTCCGGCCTTCCTCGATTCAAGATACGAACGGAAATCCTCCATGATGTAACCCTTTGACAGAGCGAGCAAGTAGATTACTTTGGAAAGCTCTTTTGGTTTCAGAGAACGGACAATATTGTTTTTTCTGAAGAAATCCGTTGATTTCAATTGGTATACGGTCATGTAGTTGCCTAGGAGAGACATGATTTCCAATAGGTCCGATTCGAACTCTGATTGATGTTGGTTGGATACCTTCTGGCTTGGAAGCTGTTCCATGAGATCCCCCCACAGGTTGTTGAAAATACTTGAGCGGTTGGGACCATATAATACCTTGGCAACCACCCTCTCTCCCTCTGGAAGTGGAGAACCATCATGTATCTCAGCCAATGGATAATCTTCTTCTTCGTTGAAATTGTCCAACGGGAGAGCAGTGTGCGGTGAACCTTGACTGGACTTGTAAAATTTCCTTCGGCATTTACTCGACAGGTAATCATGTACCGACTCCAAGTTGAAAATTGTACGTTCTATTCTGGAACCATCAGGCAATTCACTACTCGTAGGATGACTTTCATCAGATTCCGTCGCAAGATATTTGCTCTTAAATGCACGAATTTTCTCGGAAATCTGCTTGGTTCTCGATTCCATGCGGTCAATTTCAGCTGCACAAAGGCGGTTCAGCATATGTGCAAACAAGACAATCGAGTTTGTTTTCGAAAATAAGAAAAAAAATCAGGAGGTTCACCTTTGCGTTTGGAATGAGGTTGGCTGTTAGCTTCCTTCCAGCCAAAGCCCTGTGATCGGAGCTCTTTTTCTCCTGGCCATAGGATATGGTCGATTGAATCTGAGGGGCAATTCCCTGCTCGGCGTACCTCTCTCAACCCAGTGTCTTGATCAAGTGGTGGGGGACAAAGGTTAGTCGAGAAACTAGGGAAAGCTCCAATTACAAACCAAAAAAGAACGAACCCAGTTTTTCGGTAGGGATCGATTGGGCCAATCGGCTGTCTGCTAACATGCGAAGGGCAATGTACCACAAGAACTTCTTTGATAGGGTCATCATCGTTGTTGAGGTTGAAAGGATGATGCTCAGTCAAGATGATGGTGTTATATTTGTGACACTTCGACAGTCCTCTGAAGGAGATAAGGGCCTGGCGGATGAATCCAAATGTGTTGCGTCAATGATGGACTACCTAAATAAGCATGATGTGTAAATTAATAGACTAAAAGATTGTATTTCGTTAATACCAGTTCAAAGAAATACAATAAGAAAGAGAGAAAGAAATGAAAAGTATAATCACCTAAAAGCAGTAAATGACTAATGATAAGAACAACAAGCGCTTATAAAGCAATGAGAATAACAAAAAGAAAGAGTTCTAAAAAAAGAGTGATTAATACATGATCGATAAATAAAGAATGAATTCCAATTGAGACCTACGCGGAACGAGTTCAAGGAAAACGAGTATCGGCGAGTGTCGGTAATAGGAAGGGATAAGAACTTCAGATGATCAGATGGATCAGATGGAGAAGTAAGTGAACGATGTTCAACGATAAAGGCGAGTGTCGGTAATAAGAAGGGATAAGTGCTTCAGGTGATCAAATGGATCAAGATAGGGAAGTGGGAGAACGATGAGAGTGGTGACGAGTCGATAAGAGAGGTGACGAGTGATAATGAGGAATCGAGTGAGAATGAGGAATTCTGAATAAAGTTTTATTCCTACCGAGAGGGGAGGAAGTGTTTCAGAACACTTGAAGAGAGTAATAAGGAGAAAATAGGAGAGGATCGAGCGGAGTAGAAACCACACAAGATTTAGGACGCTCGAGCAATATGATGTCATTGTTGAGGCTTGAGCGAGATGACATCACTATTTCGATAGTGAGGGACAAAAAATGATCTAAGCTTTTGATGAATTAAGCTTGGATATCAACACCCCCCCTTCCCTCAAGACGAAATAGGCCTAATGCCTTGAGAGATTTCACAAGTGCTGGACGGGGAACCGCTTTCGTCAAGAAATCGGCCAGCATCTCGTGCGTAGGAGTGTACTTTAAGAAGATTTTATTATTCTTGATTACTTCTCGAATAAAATGAAGTTGAATCTCGACGTGTTTCATTCTTCGCGAGTTTGAGTTCGCATCAAAGTTTGCGACAGCTATACAACCTTGATTGTCCTCATGGACAATAGTTGCATCTTCAGAAGTGGCCAACCCAATCTCAATGATGAGTTGTCGTAACCAGAGAAGTTCGCAAGAGAAGTCGGTCAAAGCACGGTATTCCGCCTCACAAGAGGAGAGGGAAACTACCGGCTGCTTTTTGGTTTGCCAGCCAATGAGATGATCATTGAAAAGCGACAAGTAGCCGGTCACCGATCGTCTAGTCGCCGGGCAGTTGCCCCAGTCCGCATCGGTGTAACCTTCTAAGGGACTCGTCGAGGCGCGAACATACACGAGCGCATGATCTGAAGTCCCAGCAAGGTAGCGAAGTACATGCGTAAACGCCTCCCAATGGAGAATCCCAGGTGCCTCCAAGAATTGAGAGAGCACGCTTACTGCATGTGCGATGTCAGGGCGTGTAGCAGAACTCAGGTAACTCAGAGCCCCTACTGCACTTCGATAATTGACGCCTAGAGAATTGAAACGATCCATTTCCTCCCGCGAAGCTTTGTCGAGTTGACTATTAGGGACCAGAGGAGTCGCTACCGTTTTACAAGAGGTCATTCCATACAGGGATAACAGAGAATTCACATAGTGGAGTTGTGAGAGTATTATGGCTGAGGGTTCGTGCAAGACCTTGATTCCAAGCAAGAGATCAGCCTGACCCATGTCCTTCATGTCAAATTCCTGTTTGATTTCCGTCTTGAACCGAGAGATGTCTTTCCCAAATACAGCAATGTCATCCACATGGATGAAGAGCCATACAGGGTTATCTCCCAGACGGAAGAAAACACACGGGTCGGCTACCGAAATCGAGAAGCCAACTTTGACCAACCAGGCTGACAAACGATTATACCAGGCGAGGGGTGCCTGTTTAAGACCGTAGATAGCCTTTTTCAATTTTAGACAAACTTTTTTCTTGTCCAGAGAAACGCCTTGCGGGATGGATAAATAAACCTCCTCCTCGAGTTCGGCATTCAAGAAAGCTGTCTTGACGTCCAATTGCTGAAAATCGAGATTGTTGGCAGCCGCATAAGAGATGAGGGCCCGAAGAGAGTTGAGACGCCCGGTCGGGGCAAACGTTTTTGAGAAATCGATACCGTGAGTCTGCGAAAAGCCTTGTGCACACAGACGTGCCTTAAAAACTGTTTCACCGACCCCAACTTTCTTCTTAAACACCCAAGTGGTCCCGACGGTCTTAATATCCGGAGTCAATGGTACCACCTCCCACACATTCAGGGAGGTCATAGCACCCAGCTCCTTCTTGATAGCATCCTCCCAGGACTTTGCCTCCGCACAATGAATTGCACGGTGGTAGTGAGCAGGGATATCAGGAGCCGCCACCGTTAAAAAGGCTCTAGGTTTTCGAGTTCGTCGGGTTGCCAAAATGTTCGAGGTCGATACGTCGCCGTTGATGATACGACTTTCAAGCACAGGAGGTACTGGAATGTCAGGGCGATGCGCGGAAGGTTCTTCAAGGCGGTTACTGTGCCTAATCAATTCATCAGGTATGTGAGTAACTTGTTGGGTTGAGTTATCAGTGTCGTCGTCGTCTTCATCAAAAGAATCCATGAACATTTCCTCAATCTCATCATTGGAAGGTGAGAAATCGTCCAAAAACTTAGGAAAACAGAGTTCATCAAACACAGCGTGCCGAGTCCTAATTAGTTTCTTGTCTGATAAGCGAAGAATTCTATACACAGTTCCCTCGTTTTCAAAACCCACCAGGATACCAGGTTCGGCTTTCTTTCCAAGCTTCCAGGACCGGTGAGATTTCGGAACACATATGTATGCCTTACACCCGAAAGTTCTGATTCGATGAAGAGGTGGAGCCGATTTAGTCCATAGTTCATATGGGGAGAAATTGGAACGAGAAGGAGTTGACAATAGATTAGAGACGAACGCTGATGTGTTCACAGCTTCAGCCCAAAAATGTTTGGGCAAGTTGCTTGTCAAAAGCATTGCGCGAGCTTTGTCAAGCACAGTTCGGTTCGCCCTTTCAGCATAGCCGTTGTGTTCAGGGGTTTCAGGAGGAGAAAAGATGTGACGAATGCCCTGAGATTCGGTGAAATTCTTGAAAAGGGTACTGGTGAATTCACCACCATTATCTGAAACGATCTCCTTGATCCTTGAGTCACTCGAATTTTCAACTTGCTTGACGAAAACCTTCAAAGTCGCAAGAGTGTCAGATTTAGCCTTCAAGAAGCGAACGAATTTAAATGAGGAGAATTGGTCAACGATAGTGAGGAAATAACTGAATCCTGAAACTGAAGCGGGTTTGATAGGCCCCACTAGATCCATATGGATACGATGAAGAGGAGAATGGGCCGGAGAGAAGTGACCGGGAAAAGGAGATAAAGTCATTTTTGAACAAACACACACCTCACAGATCTTCGATTCTGGCGCATCAGGAAGTTTCATTTTTTTCATGACTGAGCTGTTAGGATGACCCAAGCGTTGGTGCCAGATATTGTGATCGTCGTCGATCTTCTTGCTAAAGTGGCTTGACGGTCTGGCGGAGAAAGTAGAGTGAAGAAGATTATCGACAATCCGTCCTGAGAATAGAGAGCCTGATTCATCGGCAATGTCAAAGTGATCATTGGTCTTCTTTATGGTGATGGAATTTTCAATCAAGCGAACCAAAGAAATAAGTTGTTGCGAGATATGAGGAACAAAGAGACAGTCAAGAAGGACGATTTCTCTGTTATTCATTATAAGAGAGACTGAACCACATCCTTCGGCGATCAAAGGTGCAGTTGGATTACCGGTACTGATGGTTATCTTGCGCTTTGTGAATGATGAGAAAAGTGAACGATCGCGTATCATGTGGTGAGATGCAGCCGAATCGATGATGACTGAGTTGTCTGAAGGAGGGTGAACGTAAGTGACAAAGGCTGCGGCATGTGCGTAACTGGCGCTGGGATTTTTTTGTGATTTTGATGACGTTCGGAGTTCAGGGTACTTCTCAAAACAACGTTTTTCTGGATGATTTGCTTCTGGATTATGTTCTCCGAAAGCACAAAGATGAATAACTTTGGAAGGAAATTTTGATGATTTTGAGGAAGATGATGGTGCAGCGGTGAATAAGGCTACCGTCTTTTCTTCTTTCTTGAATTTGTGTGTTTGATACGTCTGTAGCTCGTTCAGAACAGCATACGGATCAGAGACAGCCTTTTCGTCGAGGGCTAACTTGTCGACGATTTGATCTAAGTCCTGATTCATCAGCTTCCCGAGGATAAGGTAGGCGATAACTTTCACAGGAACGTTGATGCCGACTGCATCGATATCGATCAAGCAGGCCCGAGTCTCATCGATGTATGCTTGCAGGTCGCCTTTGTAGATTAAGGCCGACCAAGTCATGTAGACTCGTCCCTGATTGATGACCGTTCTGGAGGCATATTGATCAGCAATCTTTTTCCAGAGGAGATATGCGCTATCAATGGTTGTGCTGTTAACACATTCGTTATAGCAACGTTGACTAAGACGAGGAACGATAATGGAGATGGCTTTATCACTTGCGGTTGAGTTTTCTGAAGCCACAACGGCGACGGCGTTCTCGACCGGGGGAGTGATGCATACTAGCCAGAGATCCTTTCCTCGCAGTTGAACCTTCATGCGACCATACCAAGAGGGATAGTTTTTTCCGTTGAGGATTGGAAGAAGGTGTTCGGTCTTGATTGAGCTTTGTTCTGTGTTGTCCGTCATTACTGCTTTTTTAGTTCTAAGGATCGATCGGTTTCTTCGAGCGACCCGAGACTGTAAATCTGTAAATTAATAGACTAAAAGATTGTATTTCGTTAATACCAGTTCAAAGAAATACAATAAGAAAGAGAGAAAGAAATGAAAAGTATAATCACCTAAAAGCAGTAAATGACTAATGATAAGAACAAAAAGCGCTTATAAAGCAAT